AGTCTTGGGTATGTTCTCCATCCGCGCGAACTGGTAGACTTCGTGCGACATGGCATCCCAGATAGCGTCCGCGATCTCGCCCTCTGACAGACCCGACACCTCCGCATACTTGTCGAGGACCGTCTGGATCTCCAACACCGACAGCTTGTCCATGTTGCGAATCGCCTTCTTCGCATTGGGACGCTCGTTGGGGTCGCCGAAACGGAGCCGGAGCCGATCGCAGAGCTGGTGCGAGAGCCTCCACCACTTGTCGCTGCCAGAGGCGAACCAATCGGCGGCCGACCCAACCAAGGAGAGACAGGATCTCGTTCCATCTCTCCTCTGGAAAGTACGATCGGTAACGCTTCAAGTCCTTCTCGTATTGGGTCAGCTTTGCCGCCGTGCCGTCGTACGAGGATGCTAGCAGCTTGGGCGCCTTGGCGGGCTGCCAGTCGACTGCCTGCGGACGGGGTGCGGGCTGGTGGACCGCCGGGGGTGGGACCGACGATGACGAAGCCAGCTTTTGCGGCTCGACACCCGTTTCAGTTTTGATCTCGCCGCCTTGACCCTGGTGCGCTTTCGTCAGATCCTTCAGATCTTCATCCTGTTGAGGTGTCTCCTCATCGTTCTTGGAGTCTCCTTCCAGCTCAGAGTTCTCGAGCTCCAAAGCAGCGAGCTGCGCCTGAAGAAGCGCGATCTTCTCTTTTCTCGCCGCCGTCTGTTGCCTCGTGTGTGCCGCGGGGCCTGCGCTTGCCTCAGCGCTAGTCAAAGCGCTGGTTGGATCGGTTACAACAGACATCGGGTGACTGTAGTCAGAGTCTGCAATGTGTAAGACCTTGGTAGGGTTAGCCAGGCAATGTTGTTGTAAAGTGTTTTATTTCACTTTGCAGACTGAACTGCAATTCCAAATGCATGCAAACAAACAATACAAAGACATCAACGCCGAGTCTTCTTAGCAAAGAACGACCCAGTCGGGACCGCAGAGCCTGCGGGTCCTGACAGTCATTGCGCATTTTGTATCAGTCCCAACCTGTGGGATCCCAGAGTTTCACACATTGCCTTGCTAACCCCTCAAAGACTTCAAAAAAAAAAACCGCAAGTGAGGCATTCAAAGACACGGCCGTCTGCTGCAAAACAAAACATTGATAGCCGTGCAACTAACATTCTGGTAGAAAGCATGGTTATTGGGAAATACCAGCAAGCAATGTTCACATTTCAACATCCACAGCTTCGTCATCATCATCATCGAGTGCAACACCCGCGTGAGCATTGCCGTCGTCGTCGTCGTCGTCATCCGCAGCAGATATGACGACTTGACCAGAAAGGAACAAGTATGCAATTGTGGAAACTATGGAAGCGAGTCCGAATTGCCATGCGCGGGTCCGGAGCAGCCGCTTCTCATCGATCGCGCTCTGAGCCTCGCTCGTCGTCACAGCACCGTACGTTGAAATGTCTGATGCAAACAACGATGCGTACATTCGTTCGCAATACCGCACAAGAGGATTGTAGGATCGCGCGGTTTCAGCAAGCCGACTTGAGGGCAGCTTGGAGTTGAAAATCATGTGCAAATGTGCAAAAACAAGCGCGTCCACATAGCATGGATGGTCGCCCAGCAAGAATCGACCATCGCGGCCCAGTTGTTGCGAAATTGCCAACAATGCCTCGCGTGCATTTCGATATAGTCGCTGCATCACCGATTCACAACGTTCAGTCCAAAGTTTTGTTAAAAAAAAAAAAAAACACAAACAAAAAACAATAAAATCGGTCAGTCAGGGACACTTTGCGACCAACAACTGTGGACGTTGAGCACGGTTACTCACTTCTTCGTCAAAATGCAGTGAATGGGTGTGCGAGGCTACGTCGGAAGCAGCAACAGTGGATTGTGCAGGGCGAGATTGAAGAAGCGAAAATCGCGAGCTGCTCGAGGCGGATTGTCCAGAGGAAGCTGCAGAGCTGGAGCCGGTCAGAGCGCCAATGAGGCTCCGCAACGAGCTCGTGGCCGTATCACCATCAGGCTCGGGATATTTGAGAACCAATCGATCCAATACCGTTTGCCGACGTTGTCTCGGCACGAGATAATTCAGCGGGAATGGCGAATGATCAGCAAACCAGCGGCGTGTATGCGTGGTGTAGTTGACAGGATGGCACCACTGCTCATACTCGACGGCATCGTGGAGTGCGTCTTGTACAAGTGAAGCGAACGCTCTGGCTTTTGCTGAAATGAGATGGGCATTGGTGGCAGAGTTTGGTGAAAACAAGATCGTATCGGGATCGCGCGCTCCGTACAGTCCACGGAGATTGTCAAGAACAGGCTCCAAGCCAGAAACGACCTGGACGTCCTCGGCATGGAAGGACGGCGTTGCGTCTGGCTCAACTGGCGGGGGCACCACCAATGCTGGTAATGCGCCCGTCGGGGCAAAGTACGGATTGTTGCATACATTGATGCTCAGAACAGGTGCAGAGTGCAACAGAGCAGCTGACGTTGGTGGTCTCACAAACTTGGTATATGTGACAGCCTGCCGCACAAAATTCAATCAGCATTCAAACCAATTGCGAACCAACAAAACAAATGTCAGAGATCGTCGAAATGACAAAAAAAAAAAAAAAATCCAAGTAGTAGAATTTCACAACTGCTCTTCAAGAGTAATGAGAAGCGGTGAAGCTCAAACTCAAACTCAAACTCAAACTCAAAAAAAAAAAAAAAAAAAAAAAAAAAAAAAAAGTTCCACCAACGTGTAATGCTTCGCGTCAAACAGCCGAGCGCAGAACATCGAACACAACGCGGTGGGTCGCTGCACGGGCAAATCAAAGCGCAATCCGACATCAGTGACACAATCGCAGATGCGCGGCTCGGGCGCAGCGTTCGCACTCGCAGCAGCGGTCGCACAAAGACGCGAGATCGCTGAAACCAGAACGCTCGCGCAGTGAGCTCCCTCGCGTTGATCCCGCGACACACACACAAGACTGACAGCACAGCAAGCAAGATTCACAACACAAGCATTATGGGCAACGGCGGCGACACGCACCGCGAGGCAGTCAACGTCCATTGAGAGCAGATTGGAAGCTGCATTGCCGCCGACAATGCAGAGCTCAATCGGCTTCATTTTGCGATCAAAGATCAAAAGCGACACGAGGACTGATCAGAGATGGATGAGAATAAGAGAGAGAGAGAGAGAGAGAGAGAGAGAGAGAGAGAGAGAGAGAGAGAGAGAGAGAGAGAGAGAGAGAGAGAGAGAGAGAGAGAGAGATCATCATAATAAAAAAAAGCGTCATATTAATGATACAAATACAGATGGGCGAAACGGAGAATCGAAATCAATCGAGCTCAATCACATCACTTTGACGGTTGTTCGGCATTGCATCCACGTCCAAGCCTTGATCACTGCTGACACGAGGCCGTTTAGCAGATGGGTCGTCATCTAAAACACCCCGTTCCCCAAGAACAACCAAGCGCAGCACAAAGTTCAGTGTTTGCATGCTCTACGCGAGAGAGGGAGAGCGATAGAGAGAGAGGCTCGAAAGCGGCTGCCATACCTTCATCTTCCAAAGGCCGAGCGTCTTTCATGAACGAGTACGATCCGCTTGGGAAAACGGTCAAGCGGGTGCTGAGGGGTGCATTGGTCACTCGCTCTTTCAAAATGGTATTCAGTTGATCATCTATCCTCAAGTGACGGTAGGCCGTTGGCTGCGAGCAAATGGGACAAATCCAGGTTCGTTGCCGACTGCATACGGAAATGTAGGTCTGTCAAGAGCGAGAGAGAGAGAGAGAGACAGAGATTGATCAGCATCACAAATGATCATGGTACTTTTGGCATCCGCCTGCACCCGAAACACAGCACGATACCTCTAACTCAAAGCACTGGACATGTTTGCACGAAACACCGCGAGCAGGTAGACGGAGCACAGCCAATGTGAGCGGGCACGTCAAGGAGACTTGGAGTGAGGACGGAACGTCAATCTCATCATCCGTCTTGCTCAGAAGAGACACGGCTGTTTTCAAAGCAAAACACGAAAAACGTCGAATTGTTCATGAGCACCAATTACAAGATGCACATGTGCGGAACAGCAGGCCAAGCACCCAATACAATGTCCTAGTTACCTAGTTCAATACCGGCGACGCGAGGTCGTTTTTCGACCTTCTCGACAAGCTGAGGGAGAGTTTAAGAGCACGAAGGCGGAGGGCGGAACGCAGGTGAGTAACACAGGACTCTCTCTTCTGCAGCGCAGGTGCGTCAATGCACAAAAACACAAACCTTGGCTAAAGGCAGCGGTTCGAGAATCTCGAGCAAAAAGTACGTGTCACGTTCGTAAAAGTACAGGTGGTACTCGCCGAAAGGAAGAAACAGCAACGAATTGGCGGCTCCCGGATTGGTGTAGCGAGAGATGTCCGCTGAGCGAGGCAGCATCACCCGATTTTTGTGCTCGTAGTTTTTTGGCACGTGTATCCGTTTGCCGGACTGTAAGAAAGGGGAAAAAAAGCAATTGAGGTTGTGACCTGTCAATGCCGACAGGAAGCGACAGCGAACGACAATGATACTTACATTGGACAAATCCACCCGCTGACGGTTGATGAAGAATTGATGCATGGCAAGGAATTGCAAATCAGATCTTTGTGTGCGTGAAAAGAGGCGCGCATGAATCACCAGCTTTCCTGATCTGTTGGACGGGGAGGGAGTTGAGGGGGGGGGGGAAAGAAAGGTGAGTATCGAGTGCATGCGACAGTTGAACGCGCAACGATCAAAACCAAAAACAAAAAACACCAAAACCAAAGAAAACACCATTACGTACAGAATATCGGCGCGAAATTCGGCAGGAACAGTGAAATGCGACTGAATTTGTGCAGGACCAGTTTCGACGTACAAGGGCAGTGCCATCAGCAAATGCACCGGCCGAAAGCAGGGGTCACGGGCTTTGCTTAGCAGCCCGCCTTCCGTTGTGAAATCGGTCAAGTAAGCGCTGCGGTTTCGACCATCAACCAAACGAAAGCAAACACACACAGACACGCACCAGACCACCAAAAATCAACCTGCAGTCAGAAAATCAAGAGCATCATCGACAGAGCCAAAACAAACAAACAAACAAACAAACAAAAAAAAAAACCAAACAAACAAACAAACAAACAAAAAAAAAAACCCCAAACAAACAAACAAAAAAAAAAAAAAAACCCTCCCAAAAATGACCTCCTTACTTGTTCACGACTTTAGAGTGCTCACTGGCATGTGTGTCCATGGCCATGACACGAGGACAGTCTTTCGAAATGGTGTTTGGTTGTACCGATGGGGTTTCAAATGGAGGATACGGCTCATTGGACAGCGCGACAAAAATTTGCGTGTTGCAATACGTGAGAATTCGTTTCGGTGCTTGTTGAGTTTGCTGTGGTGGTTGGGCTGCTTGCGGGTGCGCGTGTGGAGTGATTGGAAAGGTGAACATGTGCTGCGAAGCGCCAGAATGACCAGGCGCTGCTGCGGTTGATGCTGCCGTCGTTCCGGCGGAGGGCGCTCCTGGATGGCTGGTTTGAGGTCGGATTGCAAACTCTGAAAAATCTATGGCTAGAGCCTGCACCTTGGGACACACCTTCTGCATCTCAGGGGAGAGAGTGAGCAGGGCTTTGTCGACCGCTGCAGTTAATCTTGCCGCGTCGCCCCGACCGACAAAGCCGCCAAAGCTATCAATGGCAGATGTGTAGACGGCGGCTATTTGCTTTGCGTGCGGCAGCGTAATGCAGCAAGAGATCGCAAGAAACAAATCTCGCTTGCTGAGCTGAGTGCTGGCTGCGAGGGGCACGAACTTGCGCAACGTGCGGGAAACACTCATAGCTTCCTGCTTGACGTATCGACTGAATGTAACATCATCGTGCGCTTCACCAATAATCATGTCGATCAAGGGCTTGCTGTGACCGAGCGCCACGTCGGGTGATGCGCATATCGTCACGATTATCTTGCCAAACATGTTTGGAGAGATGGGGAATGCTGGCGATGGTCGCACCTGCCGGATGGCCGCGCAATGGTCACACATTCGCTTTCTGTCGAACAAATAAGCACGATGCAAGCAGAAATCCAATCAGTAACAGGAGCAAAAAGCAGTAGCCGCAGAGTACATGTATGGTAGAGATGGATGCAAGTCTGAGCGAGTGAGCACACTCCAGCCAAGCTCGCAGCCGACTCCATTTCGCGCTCTTTCCCCCCCCCCGCCCACTCTCAGTCCCCACCCCGCTTACATCGCGTACATCATCACACTCTGCCCCACACGCTAATCATTCCTGGCATGTGACTCGTGCTCCGAGTTGCTCGTTCGGGAGATGCTGTGTTTCCCGCCATTCAGGCGCTGAAACAAGCGCGCACATGAGCCGCCCCATGCAAGAGCGCCTTGCTGATCCAGAGTCGTCCCACCACCGCCTCAAAGTCCCGTCGGCGCTTGTTGCACACAAAGCAACACTGCACGCGCATTGGCTACACGAGCGATGGGCGCAGTGCGTTTGACACCGTGAGCCAGCTCAACAGACAAAAAAAAAAAAAAAAAAAAAACCCAGGCAAAAAGCATCAGATTGCTTGTCACAGACAGCATTGAGCGCGTGGATCGGGAGCGGCGAAATCGAGGGCGAGTTGCTCACAGAAACAGCGAGGCGGCGATGATGGAGCGGCTCCCCACCCCCCACCACCACAACGTCGCAGCCGCGTTCTGCCCTGTTCTGTTCTGTTGGTTTGCTTTTTTTTTTTTTTTTTTTTTTTTTTTTTTCCGTGTTTTGAGGTTTTGCGACTCACCAGCAAACACAATGGCGAAAAATAGATGACTGAGACAGACAAGCATAGTATTAGCATTCATGTACAGAACAGGACAGGACGTGCATGGGTGTACAGTATTGCATGCAAACACAAAGTTTCGCCGTTCGTTTTCTGCTTCAACTCGAATTCCTCCCGCCCTCTCTCGCCTCCCCCTCCCTTCTGAATCTAGGTATACATCCAACCATTATTGTCCTCAAAACATGGCATTGGTCGTTGCTCAGATTTGCAATGCAAACCCAGCGAGTTCACTTTTTTTTTTTTTCGGCTGGTCGTGCATTGACGAACCGCTTCTCCGTTCGCGCCTTCCGCAGCGAGACGCGCCCAGCATGCCGATGCACTGCCCCTACAACATTGGCGACTACACGGACAGCCAGTTCCTTGGTGAGCTCACCGGCGTTGGTCTGTGTGAAAGCAGCTGTGTGTGTGTGGGGTGGGACTTGGTTTCGTTGTTTCAGTTTCAAGCATTGGCGCGCTTTTTTTTTCGCTTTTGGCGCCAAGCTCACCAGCCAACGAGCCCAAGGCACCTCCCCTGCGATGCGCATTCGTCGTCGCTCACTTTGTTGTACACACTCACGCACTTTTGTTCAATGACTCAACAGAGGCGTTTGTGCAGTTCTGCGCCACGTACCATGCTGCCGATGTGGAGAGCATTCTGCTCGCACCCAATGCCGACCAGCACTACAGCGTGTCAATCAAGTGAGTCGCACGCCACCAGAACATCCGATTCTGGGGGCATAGAATAAGAAAACCCCAACTCGAACAACTCGAGAGGATGGGAGGTTGCTGGTCACAGTAATTTCTCAGTTTTTTTTTGCTGAGTTTTTGCGCTCAGAACGCGATTCCGTGTTTCCGAGAAGCTTTGAACGCAACTCTAGAGCTTACTCGTTTGTTTTTGTTCTGTGAAACTTAGTGTCTTGGATATCATCGACTCCAACCACCAGACTGGAACGTTGCTGCTGGCCTTTCCGCTCACCCTCTTGCCGATTTTTGACAACGCCATCCGACAATGCGAGGCTCTCATGCTTGAACGCTCAGAAGGGTGCTCCGAAATGGTGAGGACCAACGGTTGATTGTCACATGTGCTTGAAAATGGACCCTCTGGAGTTTTTTGGTTGGTTGATGGACAGTGAGTTTTGTTCACACGGTGGCTGGCCTTGTCTCCCAACAGATTTACAAGAATAACGTCCATGCACGTTTGTCCAATCTTCCGATTTGCGCCGAAGTGACTCGCGCACAGCTGCCACGGTCGACAGACATTGGACAGTTTTTGTCCATTTCAGGTAAACAAACGTCGGTCAGAACTGCTGCTACCACTCTTGCTGCACTCGCGCAATGCTAACGGTGATCATTGCCCAAAACTCTAGGCACCGTGACACGAACAGGCGGTGTTCGCATGCTGGAGTTTGAGCGCGAGTTTTCCTGCGAGAAATGTAAAGGAACCTTCCGAGTGCAGGTACGCCAGCTTTCTCAATGCACTGTTGTGTTTGAGCATTTCGTGTTCCTCGTTCTTTAAAAGTCTGCAAACCGCAACCGCCAACTAATCATCTCCGCCCCCCCCCCCAAACGTTTTCTTTGTGACACCGATCTTGTTTGTTGTGCGCAGGCCGAGTTTGAACAATTTCACTCCATCCCACGCCCCTCGCGCTGCCCGCACCTGGACGAGAAAGGCATGCCCTGCAAGTCGACCAAGTTTCGCGAAGCAGAAACGGCCCTCACTATGAACAGCTCCCAGTTTTGTCGCGATCACCAAGAAATCAAAATTCAAGAGCAGGTGCAGCGGCTGGCCATTGGCACGATTCCTCGCTCCATGACATGCATTCTAGAAAACGATCTAGTGGACGCTTGCAAGGCAGGCGACGATGTCACCATCACGGGCATTGTATTGACACGATGGCGACCAGTGTCTGGGGCTTCTTCGTCGGTGGCGACAGCTGCCGCCGCCATTGCCACGGGCACCGAAAGCGCTGCAGTGTTGGCAGGTACCACTGGCGCACACATCACAGTCCCTCAAGCAGGGGCAAGCAGCAATGCTGCTTCCTTGATGACTGCGAGCGCTACAACGGCTGCTGGGGCTGCGGCGAACGACAACCGCTGCGACTTGGAGATGGTCTTGTACGCCAATCACATTCGCGTGAACAATGAGCAACGGTCGCGCGTGGTTGTCACGGACGAGCTGCGTGCCAGCTTTGTGGACTATTGGAGCGCATACGCAGACAAGCCCCTCGCCGGTCGAAACCGCTTGCTGCGCGCATTCTGCCCTCAAGTTTTTGGCATGTATCTCGTCAAGCTCGCCGTCAGCATGGTGCTCATCGGCGGCGTCCAGCACACGGACAAGTCAGGATTGAAAATTCGTGGAGAATCGCACATGCTGCTCGTGGGCGATCCAGGCACTGGCAAATCACAATTCCTCAAGTACGCTGCCAAGGTCATTCCGCGATCCGTGGTGACGACGGGCATCGGTACGACGAGCGCCGGCTTGACCGTCACTGCCGTCAAAGACTCTGGCGAGTGGCAGTTGGAGGCCGGCGCGTTGGTGCTTGCTGACGGCGGACTCTGCTGCATTGACGAGTTTGCCAGCATTCGCGAGCACGACCGCGCCACCATTCACGAGGCCATGGAACAGCAGACCATCAGCGTGGCAAAGGCTGGCCTGGTGTGCAAGCTCAACACACGCACCACCATCCTTGCAGCGACCAATCCAAAGGGCAAATACGACGAGCGGGAGGACGTGTTTGTGAACATTGCGATCGCCAGTCCGCTTCTCAGTCGCTTTGACGTGATTCTTGTGCTCATCGACAAGGTGAACGAAGAGTGGGACCGAGTGCTGTCGACCTTCATTCTCGAGCAGCGTCAGAAAGGCCTTGCTGGCAGTCTCAACGAAGCCGCTGCCGCAATGATGAACAACGACAGGCCCGCGAGCGAGTCGCAGCACGACCATGCAGACATGTCTCAGCAACCACTGAGCGGCAACAACCAGCACCGTCTGGACGGTGCTCGCAATAACATGAACAACCCCAACAATCTGCATGGCGGGCCAGCGCCCTTCACCTGGTCGCTCGACCGTATCCAGGCTTACTTTTCGCTCGTGAAAACCACCAAACATCCGCACTTGAGCGAGGCCGCGGAGCTTGTGCTGAGTCGGTACTATCAGATGCAACGTGCTGCAGACAATCGCAACGCAGCGCGCACCACCATTCGTCTGCTCGAAAGTCTTGTGCGCTTGGCTCAGGCACATGCCCGATTGATGTTTCGGGACGAAACTACGCTGCAGGATGCCATTGTCGCGGTTGTGGTGATTGAATCCTCGTTGCAAGGTGCGGCGCTGCTTGGCATGGCCGACGCGTTGCACGAAGCATTTCCTGACGACCCAGATGAAAATTACCTCTTCCAGCGCACCATTGTCCTCCAGCGCCTGAGCCTGGTTGGACTCGAGTCAGTGGAGACCCGAGGCGGGCCAGGTGACGGGGCAGGCGCGATGGCTGCCGATGCACCCAGCGCGTCGCAGCAGCGAGGAACCCAAGCTCTGGGTTTATCGTCGCAGTTTGGGCACTTGCTCATTCCCTCTCGACAAGCATCTGCCGCTGGCACAGCAACACGCGCCCAGCCGCCCAGCAGCAGCGACGAGGACGACAACATGGACGATGTCCCGGACAGCCAGCTTTCGTTGATCGGGCGCCAACAGCGCCGCCAGGCTCGTGGTGGGACGCAGTCAGCACCCTCGGCAAGTTCTGCAGGAGCCGCTGCTGCTGCTGCTGCTGCTGGGAAATGGTCGTCCTTCTTGCGCGAGCCTGTGCCAAGTACCACAGCGCACGACCAGCCTGGCATTACTGGCTCAGCCTTGAACGTTGCGTTTGGCGCTGATTCTGCTCGCAATCGTGCCACACTCGTGCAAGAGCTGATTGTGGACGACGAAGGGAATATGGTTTTGGCAGATACCACCCTGCCAGAACAGAGCCATCGTTCTGCAATCGCCAAGAACGACCGAAACAGCTCAACGCACGCACATAGTTCAGCTGTTGCCGCAATGCCAAGCAAAAGGCGACGCGAGCCCGCTAACTCTGTTGGTTTGGAAGATGATGATCATGATGATGATGATGATGATGTTGATGATCGTCCTGGCGAGCAGCGGCATGAAGCTGCAGCGCCTTCCCGACGAGAATCTGCCTCTCACAAGAAACGCCGGAAGAGGCAAGCATCCAGCTCGATGGATGAGCACGACGACGATGAGAATGATAATAGCAACAACAGTCCTCGCAGGCGGTCAGCTGGACGTCGTTCCAAACAGCGACACGGCCATCGATCGTCCAGGAGGCGAACGGCCTCGGGTGACGACGCAGCGCCAGAGATGCGGCCAGCTACCGACTTGCTGGCGGCTAACAGCGATTCGGACGCCGATTTTGGCAAGATGGCTGGCGTAGGGCTGCCTCCAGACGAGATGCCTGGCACACAAAATTCGCTTGTATCAATGCTGTCCGTGGGCGGAACTCCGTCTGCCGCTGCTCCTCCGCCAGCTGCGCTTGTACCAGCTGCGCTTGTGCCAGCCAAGTCGGTGGCGACTCCAGGTTCCCAGACTGATTCTTCACCAATTTCCTCGTCCGTGCAAGCGGCTCTTGCGCGCTTTCGCTTTGTTCCTCGACCTGCTGCTGACGCTCCTCTCCCTCCCCGTCCTGCAACGATCTCTACAGCTCATTCGGCCCCAGTTGCCGCTGCACCCGCTGTGGCGGCGCCTACCATTCCAACGCTGCAGGAATTTATCGCTTTCAAGAACGCGCAACCCGAGCCTGTTGCCCCTGCTGCTTTACAAATGATGGATACGAGTGACGATACGGACGCTCTTGAAGTTGATCTTCACATGTAAGAGAAAGGCCGCCCTGCGATCAATTGTAAAAGTTTGAATCGTAAAAGAAAATCCCAATGTATTCCAGTGTGTACAATAAACCGTTTGGCATTGTTTGCATACATCGGCTCTCAATGATCCGTTCAAGCGTCTCGCTTTGTTCGAGCCACGAGCAGACTTTCTACGTTGGCGTAGGCTTGCAGGAGCTGATTGTACACAGCAGTGGCAGCCGGATCAGGAACAGCAACAAGCTTGGGTGGCTCGGCTTGGGCGGTAGCCTGCTCAAACGAGCGGGCATCGTGCAGCGAGCCATGCTTGCGCCATGAATGCACAGCTCGGAATGCACACCCAAGCGCAGCCGAGTTGGCTTGCTCCAAGCGGTAGACCCGTGCGCCAAAAACGTTCGCAAGGATCTAACCAACAAATGCAACATTGAACATTCAACCCGTGAGTACAATGAAAACAGAAATTGGACCCGCGGGGGCGGGGGGGGGGGAATTGTGTTTGTGGACATGTGCCCACCTGCAAAATGGCACCATTGTTGGAAGCGCCGCCGGTTGCAAGGATGCGTCTGGCTGAGGAAGTATTGTACCCAAGACGCTCGGCATGCAAGCGCTTTGCCAGGAATTGTCTGTGCGTGTTGTCGAGAGATGAGATACGACAGAAAACAGATGCCATTTTGAACAAGACCGGCGTGCATCCCATTTACCCTTCGATCAAGGAACGAATCTCTTGTTCCGGCGACAGAGCTGCAACTTCGTTGCCGTCTGCACCAAGCCGCAGCTCTCCGCGGGCGCTGGGTGTAATTTCTGTCTGGTCGAAGTAGGCAGCTACGATGCCATTGTTCCCAACTGGAGTGCTGGCAAGAGCGGCATCGAATGCAGCCCATTTTTGCGTCTGGGTCTGCTCGCTGTTGAGGTGGAGCGCGCGATCGCGGACTCGCTCGCGAGCCAAGGAGCCGTTCTTGTAGCAGAGCAATGCCATGTAGGACTGGGTGTCGACCGGGTTGCAAAAGACATGTCCGTCCAAAGTGGTACGTTCTGAATTTCAATTGCACGATGAGCTCCTTTTGTCGCGTGTCCGCGCCACTCCCCCCCCCAACACACACACTTCCAACAGCTGACCCACGAGTGATTGTAAAGACAAGCGCCACTACTCCTTCCGTTTTGCCAGCAATTACCTTGTTGAAGCGACTGAGTGTCCTTGAGCCACAGGAAGAGCGTGTCCGAAGTGCCGAGACTAACCGTCATATCGCCTTCACCGATTCGCATGCCAGCGAGCGACGCAGGATTGTCACCAGTAAAGGCGCCAACGACGCAGTCCTCGGCAAACCCATATCTGTTGCAAAAGCACGCACATGTGTTGAGCGTGCAAGAATGAAAATGTCTTCGAGCCCCTCAACGCAGCACCCAAAAGCAACATACCTCGAGACAAAGTATCGAGAGATGGTTCCGACAAGCGTATCGGAAGGTACGGGAGCACCAAGCTTGACGGACAGGTCTGAGACCTGAGTGGCTTGAAGCAGCCGAGCTTCCCAATTGCGAGTCTGCAGATTGAGCAAATTCATCCCAGACCCATCCGACTCGTCGATCGGGGCGTAGCCGCCAATGAGCAGACTTGCAACAAAGCTGCTCACAAGCGAAATGCGCTCGCAAGCTGCCATTTGGTCGGGTTTGGTGCGTTGCAATTTCGCAATCTGGGCGCCAGTGAATCTTTCGTACGCACTGCGATGCACCGCGATGCACCGCGCACCACCACCCCCCCCCAAAAAAAAACCAAAGGAAATCATCGAGGATTAGCATGCACTTGTTTCAAGCGATAGATCGACAAACTATTGCAACGAAAGCAGAGGCGAAATTCGGGCGAAATTGCCAAGCGAGTTCTTACCGCGATCCTGAAATGGCGGCAAGCTTCTCGGGTCCACCAACAGCCTGCTCGAGAACAGCACACTCGGCAGCAGTACTTGAATCCATCCAGATCGGCGAGTCTTGCACGGCAAAGGACTGCGACAGAATGTCCCTGAGTTCGCGATTGCTGGAGGACTCGAGACCAGCGAGGGTAGACTCTGCACCCTTGGCCCAGTAAACACTGCCGTGTTGCTAAACGGCGATACAGTATCCCATACGCCAAGCAAAGTTCCAAGTATCCAAGTTCCAACCAGCGGTGAGTTCATCTCTATGGCAGATCATCACCATTCATTCTCGCTCCTCGGTCTCGGTCTGGGTTCAGGTCGCTGCTGGGCTGCGCCGCCTCACCTGCCCCGTGCCTGAGATGCACTTGACTCGATGGAATGGGAACGCCTGGCTGCGCATGCTGGCGAGCAGGGCGTCGAGCGCAGCAACCCACATCAGCGTCGGCACTGTGACTACGTCCGCCTCGGTCGCGCTGACCTGCACGCCGTCCTTGATCCTGCACACGCATTGTCAAAGGCATTCGCAACAAGATTGCAGAGACCAAGATGAGAGAAGCACTTTTGTTCGAAGCACAGCAAGTAATAATAACGCGTGTAGAGTTCCAATTTTGAACTCCAACTCCAAATTTGACAGCCCAATCGGTAAAAATCTGAGAGACGTTTCAACGAACTCACTTGAACTCGGCTGCAAAGTGGGCATCGAAGGGAATCGCAAACTCGTGCGTCACAGTCAGGTCTGCGTCCACAGCAATGGCTTTGAGCTGCTGCGTCGACAGGTCGATGCCCAGAAACAGCGGCTGAGTGCTGGAAGCGGACAATGTCATTTTTCTGAACAAATGAATCAAGACTGGCCATGCACTCCTTCCCAACCTGCATTCCAAGCTTATAGTGCCATTGAGGATGAGCTCAAGAGTAGGCGTGTTCATTGGATGACGATGAGCTTTCAAACTCGAAATGACCAAGTTGACACATTCATCAGTCTTCTCTCCCCAGCCGCGTTTTTTTGTTGTTTTTTTGTCGTTTTCAGAGCAGAATTCAAGGGTCGTCGTGCGTACTGTCAAGTCTGAATTCTATCCTCAGATTTCAACCTACACACACCCCAAAACAACACCCTATTGGGAGGAAATTTTTTTAGCCAACACCAACAACCAGCAACAACACTGTTCTTCTTCCTTCCGCTCCTCTCGCGCCACTCATCCACCCCTCATCGAACAAACCATGCCGCTGTGCTGCGAAAATGACGCTCAAAACTTTGGAATTGTGCACGGCTCGTGGGCCAAGCAAGACCAAGAGACGCTGCAGCTTTTGCTCGAAGACGTGCTGCTCAGAAATATGGAAGCGTCGCCCGAGCTGAGCAGCGCGTTCGGCCACGACCTGTTGGGCAGCACTGCCGGGCAGCTTTTCTTGTACAACTGCCTGTCTTCGTCCATGTGCTGCACAAGGCGCAGCGACGACACGAGCAGTCCTGACCCACCACATCACGCCAGGTCGGAGTTGGTAGGACCCGCGACGGATGCCAATCCCTTCTTCCCCGATTCTCAGAACCTGTCCTCCTCCGCTTCTTCCTCCTCCTCCGCCACCTCCTCTTCCTCCTCTCGTCCACGACACCAATGCAAACTGTTCAATCTCACCAAAGTCGGGAGCGAAGAATCATCTTCCGACGCTGCGGCCAGCGGGCATGACAACAAAAAGCTGCGACAATACCTCGGCGTGGTGGGGCAAGCACAGCTGTTGCAGCGTCTCAGTGCGGTGGTCAACCAGCGGGACTTTTGCGACAACACGAGGCTACACTGGTCGTGCTTTCGAGGACATACCAAATGCGTCGACCTGCTCCTCAAATTCGGGGCCAACAAGTACATGCGCGACAAGAGCGATCGGCTGCCGCTGCACGACGCGGCATCGCATGGATTTGCGGCGTGTGTTCGCCTTCTGCTTTGCTCTGGCTCTGTGCACCACCATCGGGACCACATCAACCATCCTCACCACTGGAGAGCCGCCCATGAGCCTTCCATTTCGAGAAGGCTGTCGTCGGGATGGATTTTGGACAAAGCCGAAGCATCCACCAGCAAATCCTCACCGTACCGCTCGAGTAGTACCAAACAGGGCAGCAAATCCCCATCAGTGGGTGCCTTATCAGCAGCCGAGCAGAAGTCGAGTGGAACGGACATGTCGGATTCGCCGCAAACAAAGTGCACCGGCGCGCCGCTTCAGAGCGATGGTCACACGTGCAATCTAGACCCCAGCTGCACTGAGCACGAGTACGTAAATGCTCGCGACTGCGATGGGCTAACACCGCTCCACGGTGCTGCGGCCAGCGGAAGTTGGGAAACGGTGTTGTTGTTGTTGCTCCACGGTGCCGATCCGGATGCTCAAACTGTGCCAGGAAACTACACTTGAAACAATGTTTTGCAATGAAACTTGTCTCCTTTTTCAAAAGTAATGCTGCTTGCTGTGTACTGGAACGAAGAAAAAAAAAAAAAAAAGCCCCTGCATCATTGAAAAATGGATGCAGCGTTGTTGAAATTTTGCCCGACGTCTTTTCTGTAACAGATCGCTCAAGCAACGACACACACACACATATACATATATATATATATACATACACACACGAGCCTCGTTATACACGGTCGATCTCATCCTCGCATCTGGAGCGCCAATTGGACATTTTTCGCATAGAATTGAACGCGAATCCAGATTTGGTGGCTCAGTCTGACATTGTTGAATCTCTCTCTCTGTCTCTCGACTTTTCCATTTCCTCTTTCCACACCCGTTTCTGAATGGCAACTACATCTCTTCGTATTGCGCGTGGCTTCCTCGCGTCTGGCGTGACGTGCGGCATCAAGAAGCGCGGCGGCCTCGACTTTGCGATGGTTGCTTCGGAGGTTCCCTGCACTGCTGCCGGCGTGTACACCAAGGTAACCCCTTGTGTTGAGTATGTTTGTGTGTATGTGATTGCTTGATGGATCAACCTTCGAGCACTGTGTCGAACTGGAGCTCTCCCTTATGGTCGTTGTCTGATGCTCATCCTTATCTCTCGCTCTCGCTCTCGCTCTTTGATTGCATGACAGAACAAGTTCCGCGCTGCCCCGCTCACCGTGTCCAAGGAGCTCATCGTAAGGCACTGCGTTTGTTTGCGTCATCCATCGCGCTGTCTGTTGCTGAAGCGATCGATGCACGGCTGGACGCTGCTGCACCAACCGATCCCATCAAGCGAGAAGAAAAAAAAAAAAAACCGGTTGAGCAGCACACACATGCGCAAAGCATTGAGCCAACGCGCTTTTACACGATCGCTGTTGCAAATGCACTGCTGCATCGCTTGAACCCATTGATTTCCATGGATGGATCGATCCAAGCCGGAGGGGAAAGATGGGCGGGCGAGCGGCGGCTGCTGCAGTGACTTGGAGAGAAGGCCAAAGCAGAGTTCAGCCAAACCAAAGAAAAAAAAAAAAAGATCGAAAATGCTCAGACTTTTGCATTGAAAACCCACCTATTCGTGCTGTTTAACAAGACTTACAATTGACTTTGTCTGTCTTGGGATTCTGCACAAAAATTGCAATCATCAGGATGCCAACCCAGGCAACATCCAGGCCGTCATGATCAACAGCGGTTGCGCGAACGCCTGCACCGGCGAGAAGGGTCTGGCGACTGCTCGCGAGTCCTCTGCATTGGCCAGCGAGACTCTGCGCTCTGCCAATCCCAACATTACTGGCAAGGTTTTGGTCATGTCGACGGGCGTCATTGGCCAGCATCTCGACATGGTAAGCGCCTGATTCGAGTCACCACCACAAACGGCGGTTTCTTGTGGTCTGACAATTTTTGTGTTTGTGGCGTTTGGGGAATCTGGTAGGAGAAAATCGCCAAGGGAATCCAGCTCTCGTCCAAGTCCCTCAAGACTGAGCAAGGCTGGCAAGACGCCTCGCAAGCAATCATGACCACCGACACCAAGGTTTGTATTTTGTCCGGGGTTTTTGAAATTTGCGTGTTGTTGTTGCATTTCCCCCTTGCTTGTGCTCATTCTTCTGATGGACTTTCTGTCGTTTTACACAGCCCAAGCTGGTCTCGCGGCAAATTATGCTGCAAGGTCACGGCCCAATTACCATCACTGGCATCGCCAAGGGCGCTGGCATGATCCATCCCAACATGGCCACCATGTTGGTCAGTGTCTCACTCGTGTTCTTTTGGTCTGGGCTGTGCTGGTAGGGGTGTCTGATGGTTCTCACAAATGGGGGATTTCCGTTTTTTTTTTCTTTTGCTACTTGCAGGGCGTTCTCGCCACTGACGCCGCAGTTGGCCAAAAGGCTCTGCAGAGCGCTCTTTCGTACGCGTGCGACCGCTCTTTCAACTGCGTGACTGTCGACGGCGACACCAGCACCAATGATTCAGTTTTCCTTTTGGCCAACGGCCAGAGCAAGCTTCCTGTAAGATGTTTTGCGATAAAACTATCACGTTTGTAGATGCTGTGTTCTGATATGACCTTCTTCTTCCAATTTCGAACGGAAAACCAAAAAGGTGATTGAAGATACGACGTCGCCCAACTACATTGCCTTCCGTGATGGACTCACCGCCACTGCTGCCGAGCTCTCCAAGCTGCTTGTCCGCGACGGCGAGGGTGCCACCAAGCTTGCCGAAATTACCGTCACGGTACAGTTCGAGTTTGTTTGTGTTTTTTTTTTTTTTTTTTTTTTGCCTTACCGCCAGCTGTCGACATGCCTGGAACTGACCAATGTTCTTCTCTTTTGTGTTGGACGGTACTCAGGGTGCCAACTCCTACTCTGATGCCCACACTATCGCTTCGAGCATTGCCACCTCGTCTTTGGTCAAGACGGCATTGTACGGTCAAGATGCCAACTGGGGCCGAATTTTGTGCGCGGCAGGATACAGCGGCATCTCGTTCGACCCCTCCAAGGTCAATCTGTTCATGGGTTGCCTTGATGCAAACGGCAACCGCCCCCTTCCCGAGCAGCAGCTGGTCAAGGATGGTGCCCCGTTCGACGTCAACGAGGACACTGCCCTCGCGATTCTCAAGCACACCGACATTACTTGCCGCCTTGAGCTCAACATTCCCGGCGGCAAAGAGCAAGCCACGTACTGGACTTGCGATTTCTCGTACGACTACGTCAAGGTCAACGCCAGCTACCGTTCGTAAACTGAAGAGTTGTGGCGGCGTGTTCTCGATGCCATTCAAAGACTGGCTGCCTCGAGCTCCACCGTTGTTGTTTTTTTTTCTTTCTTTTAACGAACAATGAATACAAAAAGTCAAAAGAGAAAGAAATGTACCGCTTGGCACAGTGTACATGAATGATAGAAACATGAAATCGAATAATTACAAACACAAGGCACGAAGCATCTCGCTCGCTCACATAGCTTCGATATCAACTTCGTACGCCGTTTTCTTGGGATCGGGCTTCTGGAAGCAGATTCGTAACACGAGCGAGTTTGTAAAGTGAGTCGACAATTTGATACCATGCACAAAAACTCCAACGCGCAACAGTTTGCTTACAGGCCGAATGGCAAGCACGCGAGCGGCGTAAAGCTCCCTGGAAAATGAAATTGCAGTCATCAGATGTCAGCCACATGCCAGCTACCAAACATGGCACAAATACACAAAGAAAAATACCGCACTTTTTCGATGTGTCTTGGAGTCTGAGCTCCCTGCAACACTCTTGCGACACAAAGTAATCTCGCACAAAGACGCCGTCGGAGAGATGCAAGACACACCACTTGCTTTTGTCAGCATTGGGGAAGCAAACAACTGCGCTTCCCGGGCTGAAACTATCAAGCACGAACAGAAAGACTTGTTAGTATTCCCAAAGTGTCTCGCCTCCGCCTTGTCCAAAACAAAAGCGTTCAAACTTACTTTTGCACCGCAATCACGTCTGCCCCACGAGCTACGAATGTGGTCGAGACAAAGGTGACATTCAAGGGGGTGAGCTTAAACACAGGCAAACGACTTTCTCCAAGCAACGCATTTCGCTCCGCTTTACCGAAGGATTCCGATTCCTTCTCCATCATCTGGTTCAAATGCTGGAAAATGGAATCAGTCTTGACCGAAAGCACGGCGAGATTCAATTTTTGCAGAATCCCGCTCCATGCAGCCACGTTCCGGAAAACTTCTTCCACGGGTGCCGAAGCAGAGCAGGTCGGGAGAGCGACATTCAAGCCAGTGGAGGGAATTTCAGCAGGAGAGTGTTGCAGGACGCTACGTGCCACAAGCTGAATGTGCGTGAATGCTGGCTCGAGCGCGCGCACCATGCTTGCGAGATTCGCCAAGTCGTCGGGCTGCAAATTCTTCCCTTGCACGAGGTGGCGCAATTGCGAAATGAGCTCGCGGTCCTTATCGAGCAGCGTCTTGTCTGTGACGAGGGCAGACTGCATGCGAATGATGCAGGCTTCCAGGTCTCCAAGCGTGGTTTGCAGCGCCTCAGGAAGCTGCTTGACGGCACTTGCCTCGAGAACCCGAGCAGAGGGTGCAGCATCGCCACCGGCTTCGCGATCGGCATGCGCAAGCGCAAACAACTGCTCCAAGGCCTGTGAAAGCGCCTGGACGCGCTGGTCTGCCTTGGTTTTCGCGGCGACCATCTCCATAGCGGTTGCCTGCTGCGCTTGCTGCAACTCCACAATTTGGGATTGCAGCTTTTGGGCCTTCTCGCCACTGGCTTTTCGTTCGTCTGCAAACGCAAGCGCTGCGGCCTCTTGCACGCGTGCGGCAGCTTGGAGTCCAGCCAGCTCTTCTTGCGCACGAACGAGTCGTTGGTTCAAGTCCTCGCGATCTTGGGCCAGCAGTTTAGCAGTGTCCGATTGCGCATCAAGCTGCCGAGTGGCGTCGGCAAGCTGTTGCTGCAGCAGAGCATTCTCATCCGCTTTTGCGGCCAACGTACTCTTCAGCTGCTCGAGCTCGGATGTGGCAGCGTCGCGAGCCTGCTGCGCTGTGGTGTTGTCGCGCCACACTTGCTCATACCGCGAGGTAAGCTCGACATGAGCAACCTGAAGCGCGCTATATTGATCCGCTTGCGTATCGAGACTAGACTTGAGGTTGGCCACTTCGGCATTCAGGCTGCCGAGGACCGTACGCCCTCGCGCAGCAATCGCTTCGTGCTCAGCTCGCACTTGAGCTAACGCAGCCTCATGCGCAGCACCGAGGCTGGCAAGCGCTGCACTATGCTCTAAGGCAGCATTGGTTGCCGTTTGGGTCTGTGCCGCCAGCTCCTGCTGCGCTTGATGCCGATCAGCCGTCGCACTGTCCAGCTGCTTTCGTAGATTTTCGAGTTCCTGGCGCAGCGTCTGACAATCGGACTGCGTCGACAAGAGAGTGGACTGGGTCGTCTCCAGCACCTGCTGAAGCTCGGCTTTCTGCTGGCTCTGCTCTTGGAGGTCGGCAAGCATCCGATCGTTGTTCTCCCGATGGGCATCCGCAGCCTTCGCCATCTGCTCACGCAAGCTCGTTTCGGTGGCACCGGCGACGGCAATCTGAGCGCGCAAATCCGCCTCTGTGGCTGCATCGACGCTCAGCTGCCGGCGAACCTCCTGCTCGGTTTTGGCAGCAACGGCCAACTGTGAGCGCAGCTCGGACTCCAACGTCGCTGCGGCCATGAGCTGGGCGCGCACGTCCTTTTCAGTCGTGGCCGCCGTGTCAAGCTGGGCTTTCAAGTCGGACTCGTTCGACATGAAGGTTGCCAGTTGGACGCGCAGGCCCGTTTCCACCGAAATGGCGGCAGCCAGCTGCGCCCTCAAGCCCGTTTCCAACGCCGATGCGCTTTGCAACTGCGAGCGCAGCTCGGATTCGGCCACGATGGACGCTGATCCACTGCTCGGCGCCGCGCCACCACCACCAACCGCGCCAAGACGACGAATTTCAGCGAGGAAGAGGGTAAACTGACGCACTTGCCCTTCAAGCTCTTGAATTCGTCCATTGGCTTCATTCGTGTTCAAGCCATTCGCAGAGTCCAGGACCTCAATTTTCGATCCGGTTTCAATTCGCTTGATGGCCGTGTCGATGGCGGCAATCAGGCCGTCATACCGGTCGACAAGCGCATCCAAATCTTTGAGGATGACTGTTTCAACGAGACTTCGTACATACAACGATGACTTGGAGCGAGGGGACGACGGTATGCCCGACGCGAGAGTATCAGCCCACCCCACGAAGAAGGTGCGGAGCTGATCAAACTCGGCTTTGCCCAACGCGGGTAGCTCAAGTTGGTTGGTGTCACGAAGCATCTCGGCAAAGGGCAAGTTTGGATCAAACCCTTTGATTGGCATCAAAAGCAGATTCATCGAATCGGACGACTGTTTGCCGCGCAGCTGCAGCGTCGATCGAGCGGTTGCGGCGCCGCTGCTGCTAGCCAAGTCGCGGGTCGCAGCCAAACCAGTGTTGCTGCGCTCTAGCTCGCCAGAGGAGCTCCCCGAAGAGGAGGAGCCCAGGGCTCCATCAAGGACAATGGACGCGTCCGCGTCGCTGACGCCTTTGGCAATGGCGCGCCGAACCTTGTCGAGAAGCTCCCGTGTGCCACTACGAGCCTGTGTGTACAGCTCGGCAACCGCTCGACGGAAGCAAATTTCAAGCAACTTCTGGCCAAAGGGCACTGGAATGAGAAAAGTGCCTCGAATAATGGCAAAGTTGAGCGATTTCTTGTCCCGCGCATCCGGGAAGAACTTGAGCATCGTGTCGATTTTCGTTCGAATGTCCATTATGGTGTTGGCGCGCTGCAAAGAGTCCCAAGTGCCCGGAAGTTGGTCCAACAGCAGGTTCTTGAGGGCCGAGTAAGCCGACAGCAAGTGCTCCAAGTAGCCCATCATTTGTCGCAGGTGCTCTTTGTTGTTGTCATGAACCACAACCGACACGTTCGGGTCTGTTAACGGTTGGCTCCCGTGGTCTCGTCGAATCACGGCAATTAACGATCGCTGGATAATGGGGAGAGATCAAAGCAATGAAATCAATGAGTGTGATGATCCTCACCTCCCCGAAGTGCGTACTTACCAATTGGTCAAATAAGCTTTCTAGCTCTTCTTCTGTCATCAATTTGGAGAGGTGCGATGACAGCGGTGCAGGCGGGGTCCCCAGCAACGTGTTGCACTCGCGCCACCAGGCCATCATTTTCTGGACTTCTGCATCGAATGTGCCCTGAGAGTTCCGGCAGGTGGCGTAGACTTGGTTGATTCGCTCCATGTCGACATAGTCGATCAACGTGCGAGCCTGCTGCGCGGATTGCCGGAGCTGCAAGGAATTCGAGGGCGAGGCGTCAATGCTGGGAATCATCGTTGAAGGGATGGAGATGCTTTCCAGCAGCCGCACGACGTCGGGGAGCGCATCAAGCAGCTTTTGGTGACGGTCTCGCTGACTGTTATACCCATCTTCAAACTGGACAATGCTCGGCTGCAGTTTCTTGAGCTGCAATCCAATGTACTGCCACACGGCCTCCAAGCCGCTCTGGTGCGAGCGAACGTCTTCGCCCAGCCGCAAAAACACTGATCGCAGCTGATCACACGCGTTGAAGAGGATGCTGGCCAGACTGCGGCGAGCAACCACAGCAGAAGCAAAGTTAGCGAAGGGTTCTCCAGTTAATTCAGGCAACCACATTGCACTCAAACCCCCCCCCCTCTTACCGTTGCTGACCCAGAATCCGATCCGAGATTTCGCCAAACGTCGACGGAGGGGCGAGCTGCGCAGCAGCATCAACAGCATCCTGGGCCTCCTGGATGGACGAATTGACCGCCGGAAAAGTAGGCGGCGGAAAGGCAGTGCCATTTTCAGTGCCTGTTACGTTATGGTTGTTCACGTCCGCACCAAAGCGACAAAGCCAATCAGAATCAGAGATGTGAGTGAATAGATCAACGTGAACCAAAATCTTCAACGTAAGCTTCTCAGCATGCAACCCTCATACCGAGTCTGATGAGGTAGATTGGGTGACGCTCAGAGCCGTGGATGCTCAGACTCAAGATTGTCTCCTTGGAGCTGAGCACGCGAGGTCTGTCGCCCGACGCCAAGAGCAGCTGCTGGTTGACCGGAATCCGCGTATATTCAAACACTGCCTCCATCAGTGTCTAGCAGACAAAAAACAAAGCAAAACTGAATGTGAGTCTTTCCCCATTGCAGAACCTGCATCCTCATCAACAAACCAAGTGTTTTGTTATTTCTTAGTTTCTTAGTTTTCATATTTTCACTATTTTTCAGCTATTTTTTATTATTTTTATTTTGTATTCTTGTTCTCAGCTGCTCGATGACCAGGCTCTCGTTCTCTCCCCTTCCGCTTAACTCTTTTGCCCCCACTTGCCCTCCAATACAGCCCACACACTGAACAAACCTCCCTCCCCTTTTACTCGTGTTGCACGGCCGTGGATGTGAACCCCCCGCCCCACCGCTTGCCCGCCCGACTGCTTGAGCACAGCCAAGACGCAGTCAAACCCAAAGCTGTTCACGGCTCCCGAAGCTTTGTGGTGACTGGTGACCGTTGTCCAGCACGAGACCACCACGCCTTGGCAGCACAACCAACCACGCCAAACAGGTCTCTCTCGCTTTCTATCTCTGTTGAGGTTGAGGTTGAGGTTGAATGGGGAGTACTACCTTGACCGTGGCGGATTGGATGTCGAGGTCGAACGCGAACGGCGTCGCGCACTCAATGAAAAAGACGTGCACCGACATCGGTGTGATTTTTTGGCGTTGTGCTTGTTGCCCTTGTGGTTGAGTGAGTGGAGTGTTGAGTGAGTCTTTGTAGGGACGACGACGAGATTGAATATGCAAAAAGAGAGAGAAAGACTGATTCAATGCAATTGCATCACCCATTTGGCAAGGCAGCAGAGACGACGAGTTGCATTATTGTGATTGTTGTTGATATATACCGTAGCAGAAACTTGGCAATCCAATCTCAGATCCTCAGGCAGTCATCAATCCAAAGTCCTTCACAAGCATGTTTGCATTGAACGCTCTGCGCACTGCCATCCGCGTCCAGTCAGCCTCGTCGCCTTCTGCCGCAGCCATCCGCGCACTCTCGACTGCCACTGCTGCCTCTGCTGGCTCGTCGGCTGCCGTCCCAGGTCTGAATCCCTCTCAGTTCGAGTGATCCCTTTGTCAATCCCGATCACTCTCACTCATCTCACTCAACTTTGATCTCCTCCACACATCACACATCACACACCTCACCTACTCCTTGCACCATTGCACAGACGTCTCCAAGCTGAGCTTCAACACGCTGCTCGTGTCCAAGCCGACCGCCAATGTCGGCCTGGTCACGCTCAACCGCCCAAAGGCACTCAACGCTCTCTGCGACGATCTCATGAGCGAGCTCAACACGGCCCTGGAGCACTTCCACGCCGATCCCACGGTGGGCGCCATCGTCATCACTGGCAGCGAGCGCGCATTCGCAGGTCGGTCCAGCTGTGGTTTTGCTTTGGGGAACGATGCTCACTCGCTCAGACATGTCGTGCATTGTCTGAATCTCATTGTGATTCTCACCATCTTGATCATGTATCACTTTTTGATCTTGTTGTCTCTGTCTAGCCGGCGCTGACATCAAGGAAATGCAGCCGCTGACCTACTCCAAGTGCGTCAACACCAACTTCCTCGCTCACTGGACGCGCGTCGCAGAGTCGCGCAAGCCCATTCTCGCGGCCGTCAACGGCTTTGCGCTCGGCGGTGGCTGCGAGCTCGCCATGATGTGCGACATTATCTATGCCGGCGAGAAGGCCCAGTTTGGTCAGCCCGAGATTCTGCTCGGCACCATTCCCGGCGCAGGCGGCACGCAACGCCTCACCCAGGCCGTGGGCAAGAGCAAGGCGATGGAGATTGTCCTCACTGGCGACAAGTACTCTGCCCAGGAGATGGAGCGCGCTGGCCTGGTTGCCCGCGTCTACCCCGTCGAAACGCTGGTCGAGGAGGTTGTCAAGAAGGCCAGCAAGATTGCCTCGCTCTCCAAGCCCGTTGTCCAGCTCTGCAAGGAGGCTGTCAACGCCTCGTACGAAATGACCCTCAAGGAGGGCACCCACTTTGAGCGTCGTCTCTTCCACTCGACTTTCGGCCTGAAGGACCGTGCCGAGGGCATGACTGCGTTTGTCGAGAAGCGTGCCGCCAAGTTTACTGACGAGTAATCCGGAGAGAGCAAGAGGGAAGCAAAAGGACGAATTTTGGTTTTTCGATGACTTTTTTCTGCTTTGTTCGTTGATGCAAGTACAGTTATTCTCCCTCCAGGGCCGTACCATTTTCAACCCACACCATGAGTACTAGATCCATCTCGTCCATGTTCATTGTTGACTGTTTGTCTGCTCTTTGAGGGTTTGATCCAAAGCGAATCGCAACCGTTTCATCGCTTCCCTTTTCATCTTTCCCTTTCTCCCAAGTCATGTCTTGTTTGTTTCTCTTTTACTGCATTGTTCCATAGCTTGCCCACTTCCAATTGAATTGCATTCACAGTCCAATTCTCTTCTCTAATGCTTTCTGCTGCTTCATCTTCCTCTGCGCTTGCTTCTGGCTGCGGTGCTCTTCGCGTCGCCACGCTCGCTGCCTCTGCCTCTGCCTCTGCATCGCCATCATCATCATCATCCTCAGTACAGACTCGCCATGCATCCACTTCTGCTGCTGCTGCTGCTGCTGCGCTGAGTGTGGCGTCCGTGGCTGGCTCTCGTCGCATGTTTGCGATCTCGCCATTCTCCAGCAGCAGCAGCAGCAGCAGCACTGTCGCTCCACTCGCGTCAGTCCACTCCCGCGCACCCGTCTTCGCGACTGCCTCTGCGCGCGGATTCCACTCGCACGGCGCAGGGTCGCAGGCGCTCGCCAAGTTCCCCCACCGCGCCATCAAGGCCCAGCGCAAGGCCGGCACGCTGCCCCTCGACGACAAGACGGCCCACGTCGCCCCGCACCCGCTCGTCACGCCGCCATTCCCGCGCGCTGTCATTGCTGTCCCGGTGCCGGCGCTGCCCGGTGCGGCGCCAACGAAGGCCATGAGCACGATGGCTGCTGCTGCTGCGACCACCGCGGCCAATGCCAATGCCAGCATCATTGTCACGTACCACCCGCTGCGCGTCGTGCACGAGGACTTTACGCGTCTCACGCAACTGCCAACGCCAAACATGCCGACGCTGAACAACAACTTCACGGTGGGCACCACGGAGGCCATGACGCCGCTCGATCCCTTCCCGGTCATTGACGAGACGGCCACCTCGCCGGCCTCGGTGATGGTCGCCAAGGGCCGTCGCACCCGCGGTCTTGCCTCGGTCGAGCGCGCGTTTATTCCAGTATCGCCCGCCGCCCGCACTCCTCTGCCACAGAACGTCATGGCACGCCAGGCACTCAACCTCGTGCCCAAGTCCGCTCTGCCGCACGGCACGGATGCAAAGACCCGCGGCACTGCCGCTGGCGCGCTGCACGTCGGCCCTGCCAAGAATGCACACGACAGCTCTTCGTCTCCATCGCTGGAGGCCGCCTTCCTGTCGCACTTGACGCAAGCCGGTCGTCAGGCATTGACCGAGCGCGTCAACTTTTACGCTGCAGACCAAGAACGCCAGGCGCGCTCGACGTCGGTCGCCACCTCGGCCTCGGCAGCACAGTATCCAGTCGCATTCAGCAAATATCTGCAACAGCAAGCTCGCCCGAGCCGACTGCAAAAGACCCCGGCCGAGCACGCAGTCAAGGCTGCCGAGAAGGCCGGCCTCGACGCCGCGCGCGCCCCGAGCATGACCGATCCGGCGACTATTGCCAAGGTTCGAGCGTTGCGCGCCACCACGACCAAATCGACCGAAGAGTTGGCAAAGATGTAAGCAAGTGCTTTTTGTTTGGTTATTCTAGTGGTTTTTTTTCCAATGTTGGGCGAAGATTTGGCTTTAGCTGGATTTTCAGGGCACGGAATGCAGTGTTGTTTGTTGGGGCTATTTCTCGTTCTTTATGCGCATTCTGACTCTTCCGTTGTTTGCTTGGGCTCCCTCCGTTACAGGTTTAACGTCCAAAAGGCCGTGATCAGGCAAGTTGCACCCCTCACAGCCGAGCAACAGGCACGACACGCACCAATCGGCGGTGTCAATTCGGACAGCGTGCCATTGTTGAAACGTGGCGAGTCTGGTGTGGATCAGTACATTGCTTGGCAGTCGGTTCGCACGGCCAAGCGAAAGCTGCGCCGAGTCACCAGCGACCGCAAGCAGCAAGCAGAGGCCAACGTTGCCATTCTGCAAAGTCGCCCACAACCCGCCACGCAAGCGCCTCGCAAGGCTCCCAACTGGCCCGCCGAATGGGAGACTTCGAGCAAGGCGGCCGATGCATCATCCACGTCCACCCCTCCTGCTCCCAGCAGCAGCGTGTGGTAGAAGCTGTAAACAGTGTGACACAATACATGTATTTCTTATTCCTAGAGCATCAATGGGGGGGGGAAGGAGAGTTTCGAAGTGATCGCCACTTCATATTGGCGCATCAAAATCAGCCTTTGCAACAACAACATCCTCGCGACCACATAAACTCCCTCAAGTCCATTCATTCATTCATTATTTTTCGCGTTGTCACTCTAGATTTATTCAACAATGTCGGCATCAGGGAGCGCGGCCAGTGCGTCTGGCGCTGCAGCGAGTGGCGGCACCATTGCGGCGAACGCCCGCGCCGAGCTGGAGGAGCTGCTCGCGCGCAAGACCCAGATTGACAAGTCGCTGCAGCTGCTCGAGCAGCAAATCTACGCCTTCGAAGGCAGCTATCTCGAGGACACGCAGCTCTACGGCAACATTATTCGCGGCTGGGACGGCTACTTGAGCAACAGGTTTGGCCTTCTTCTGCTTGCTCGCCCTCGCCCACTCTCATTCGCCCTAGCACAGCAACGCGGGACCCTTTTGTCTTCACTCTCGGTCGGTCGGGAAGCCCGAGCTGGACGTTTGGGGGTTTGTTGGCTGAGCAGTTCCATTGCGTTCGATTTTGAATCGTCTTTTTGGCGGGCTTTTTCTTTCTTTCTTGCTCTTCACGCTCGGGTTGAGTTCATGAACTCGGTCGGGCTTACATTGTGCCAGAGCAGTGTCGACTTGGCAACTCATCTCTTTTTCGCGGGGATGGTCGTTGGATTGTTTGGCACAGAGCGACGAATGCAAACGACAGGCAAAAGCGCCGGTTCAAGGACACGGATCGCCTGTTCTCGCTCTCGTCCTGCACTTCGCCAATGGTAAGAAGCTCGTGGAGAAACTATGTATCGATATATGGTGGTGGTTGGGGCGGGGCTGCAGGGCGTTTGCTCACTTCTTGACCACTCTTGACCCCTTCTCCCGCTGCTCCCCCATCTGCTCGTCAGGCTGCTATCATGGCAGAGCAATCCACACAAGAAGACGACGACCGATTGGCAAAGCGACGACCAAAGAACTAGTCACAGCAGCAGTGTTATTATTTCCGGATTGTATTTTTTTGTTTTTTATTGTTCGAACACGCGTTTCACCAGTCCGATCGGTTCAATGAGCCAAAAAGCAAACCATGGCTGTTTCGACAGGCAAGTTTCGAGATGGCAGATGGTTGTGCCCAGCCCGGGCTTGTTCGCAGGCCGTTTGGAGAAGGCAGCGTTTTCGAGCATTTCGTTGCGTTGGAATCGGCTTTCGTCCAACAGCTCCATTCAATCGTGCAGCTCGTTGTTCAAATCTTTGACTGCTGATCTACGTCATTGTGGCTTTGATATCGAAGCAGGCGGTCTGAGCAAGGAAGAATGAAAGAAAACCAGAAGCCGAAAGCAGAAAAAGCAGTGTCGTGTCGTCAATGTCAAAGAGTACGGAAGTCAAAGCAAATGAAGAGGGTTTGTATAGATTGGTGCTGTCGCACGCCGAAATGTGATGCTCCCACTGTGAGTTAGCGCCACTCAGATTGGCAAGATGCGTTAATCGCCGTCCAGCTTGAACGAGCCCCGTCAACAGATAGACGGATCGGGCTCGTTTGATTAAAGGACATTGGGATAGAAGAGATCGAGCTCCTCGTCCGAAAACGAGAAGACCCGATGTAACTTCTTGCGCGAGTACAGAGGGCCTGGGACACGATTGGCGTTGAGCGTCGGCTAGCCAGTTCACCGAATGGCGCAAAGCGAGTTATGGGTTGCATTTTTCCGTTGGTGCTGCGCCCATTTACGCGCCGTCTCTCTGTATCCTGCATTATTGTTCATGGCAAAAGCGCTGTTTTCAAGGCGGGGCTGCTGTTCTGAGACCTCAGTCTCGAGTTGTCAGATTCTGACCGAAACAGCTCAGTCTCACTTCTTTCGACCCTCTGCAACTCACAGCAAATTCAAGTACATACTCCATTCATCAAACTTGTGCATCAGCAAGCCTTTGTGTACACATTCAAGCCAAGCCAAGTAGAGCGAGCAAACCATCATGCTCGCAAGTGGACTCGCAGGACTGCTGCTGGCTCGTCACGCCGGCCCGCACTGCCTGAGCACGCGGATAGGATGCTTTTCGCGATTGCCTCTGATGAACACTGCCAGTCACCCAGCTGGGTCTCTGCGGACGAGGCTGCGTTGGTCCAGTCGCGCCGCCTTGGCCACACGCGCTGGACACGCTGGCGCATCTTCAACTTCACAGACGGCCTTCCCGCGCGTCACGCACAGACCCATCAACTGGAGACGCATGGCAGGACTGTTTGCGCTCAGCTTTGCCGGATCGGTGGTCTACTGCGAGTTCTACACCGAGTCGTTTCCGTTGCACTTTTGCTCGCCCATCAACTACGGCGCGATCGGACGAGAGATTCACAACATTCTGCCAGAGTTTGACACGGTGCGACAAGCCGCAGTCGATGCTGCATTGAGCCACACGCGCGTGCTTGGGCCGCTGGACTGGATGGCGCTGGGAGCAGAGCACGCGCGAAAGGAAGAGTTTGACTATGCCGTGCACGCATTCTACCTGGCGTACCTCACTGCAGACGCCACTGTCACAGACGAGCCCTATCGAGACGTTGTGCACCAGACGTTGATGGGCTGCAAGCCATAGTGAACACGCACACAAATGCGGGTGTCTTGTATTTTTTTCTTTTTGGTTTCTGTTTGATTTTGTTGTTTTCATGTACAGTTTTGCTGCTTTGCCAGACAAGTATACATTGTCATCAAGCAGACACACAAACAGTTGCTTTATTCCGAGCTGTTGCAGTAGTTGGTGTTCAGTGCTGCTTGTTCAGCTTGATGGAAGCCGAGTTGATGCAATAGCGCAAGCCGGTGGGCCTGGGGCCATCGTCAAAGATGTGCCCGAGGTGCGAATCGCAGTGGTTGCACATGGCCTCGACACGCACCATGCCAAACTTGTCGTCCCGCTCGGTCTTGATGTTCTTCTTGTCGACGGCATCGTAAAAGCTCGGCCATCCGGTGCCAGAATCGAACTTTGCCTGGCTTCTGCCACATCGATCGATCGCATCAATGCGAAATTCACACAACAACAACAACAACAACAACAAAAATGCGGAGATATAGTGCCTTCCAAATGTGCGAGGGCCCCATCCCTATGGCACCATCCATCCATCTGGAAGTGCTCGGAACAATCCTCCGTGCGTTCGAACTTACGAGAAGAGCGGCAGATTGCAAGCGCGGCACAGAAAGATGCCCTTGTCGTGGTTGTCCCAGTATTCTCCCGTGAATGCCCTGCCAATCCAACCAAAATTATCAATTGTTTTCGTTGTGACTGAGGCAGCTCAGAGCATGATGACGCGTTTCTCAGTGCGTGTGCGCCCATTTGTGCGCTCTATGATGATGCTGACCTCTCCGTTCCAGACTTGCGCAGGACGTGGTACTGCTCGGCAGACAGCTTGGCGCGGAAGAACGCGTCACTGAGGTCCTCTGCAGGCACGACGGTCGTGGCGTCGAGCAGCGCGGGATTGACGTGGTTGGCCTCTGTCGGCGGGGCGACCTTTGCCTTGGACGCGTCAAAGTAGCAGGCGCCCGTCGCGCAGCTCGGAGCTTCGTTCGACATTGTAGCAATATGAGTGAGTTGATGTGATGATGCGAGTTGAGTTGAGTGAGTGTGAATTGGAAACGATTTGAAACGATGTGTTTCAGAATGGACGGAAATTTGGACTGAGTGTTTTTTTTTTTTTTTTTTTGGAAAAGCGTTTTGTATCCGTCAGACACTGGTCAAGTAGGTGTGTGTGCCCAAGCTGTAAATGTAGCCAAGTGCACAATGTGTGGCTGAATGGGAATTTGTGCAAAACTCAATTTGAAGTGACCGCTCAACCGACAGACACACAACCTCAACCGACAGACACACAATCTCAAACAACAAACACAGCAATGTCGATCGCATGAACAGCTTCTCGAGTCCTTGTAACCGAACGAGCACGCACGTCGTGACGGGGGGTTGGCCAACGCCTCAACTCGGCATCGAACGCGCAGCAACTCAGACACATCTAAACATGGAGAAGGTGCTTGCTAGCATACTCCAGCGACTTGACCGTGTAGAGTCCCACGAACAAGTACGACAGGTGGTAAACGCCGTGAATGGCGAGCAGAACAAAGCTGCGACCTGCCCAAACGTATTCGGCAGCGGTCGGCAGGAAATCGAACGCAAACCAGAGAGCGGCGGCCAGCTAAAGCAAACAAGAAGAGCAGTAAAAATTCAATCACGATACCATGCGTGAGTTAGTGAGTTAGTGAATGAGCGAAGGTCGAAATTCGAGATCAAGTTGAAAATTCAGAGGAGGAAATTTTCAATTTTGACGCGCAAATCTGAAAGTGACTCGAAAACGACCGCGACTCAACTGAACGCTCAACGGTTGCACTTTCGAAAGAGACGCAGCAAGAAACGCAACGCAAAAACGCAAAACGCGACGACGAGAACGAAGAAGCATGAAGAAGCGTGGAGACAAGCGCAATGGAAGTGCAGTGAAAATTTGAAAATTTGAGCGCTACGCACTCTTACTAACTCCAAAGTGCTGCTGGGCTCTCGCCTCCCCTACTCGTAGCTACCAGTGTGATAAGCAAAGCATGAATGAGCAACGTAGGACGAAACGCACCGAGAGTTTGCCGGCGATCGAGGTCACGCCAAGCTCGGTTGCGAGCAAGTTGAGCGCAACGAATTTGACAAGCGCCGTCAAGTACTCGATGATGAGCGGCCACTTTGTGTGCGGCGACGGCTGCAGCTTGCTCTCACGCATAAAGCTCTCGTGGATGAACGGGTGGCCGTGGTACATGCCGCCAAACACAAAGGCGGCGGCGGCAGCGGCAAAGCAGTAGACAATCTCCAAGACCGTTTCGGTTGTATGGCAAACCATTGCAGATCAAGTCCAACAAGTCCAACAAGAAGAATGAAGAATGAGTGAATTGCCATTTGGAAAATCGTTCGGAAATGCAGAGATGATTGATACAACGTCAGGTCTGGTGGTCGTTGGTCAGAAGTTTGAATTGCGAGATTGGTCGAATTTTGACAACTGGATTCGCTCAGATTCCATAAACATGCCACCCAAACACACACATACACACACGCATACACGCACAATGCTCAACGCTCCGCACAGAAGGACAAAAAGCACATCTCGTCACGCTCGCGCTCGCTGTGCAGATCGAGCATGCTCTCGCGGCCGGAAACAACCTCCGCTTTCGAGAATCCTGCCGCCAAGAGCGCTTGCTTGAGGGTGTCGGCGGTATGCAGATAGCGCAGCTGCTCGGGTGCGTTTGCCGGGGTTGAGCGGCGGGGGAACATGCCAGGCGCGTTCAGCCGACCGACATTGCGGCCAACAAACACTCCGCCAGGGCGAGCCAGGGCAAACGCCGCCTGAATCATGGTCACAACCGTGGCCTCGTCAAGCAGATGCAGCAAGCTGCCGGCATACACGACGTCAAACTGGTTGAATGGGAGGCGGCTGCGTTCGCTGGGCTCCATGACGTTTGCAGTCACAAAGGTCGGCGCAGGTGTCCTGGAAGCGTCATTGAACAGCTCGCGGCCAAGGGCAAAGAAGCCGTCAGCCACGTCCACACCAACGAGGTTGGAAGGATTGGCGCCATCGACGATGAGTTGGCTGAAAAAAAGGAAAGGAGCGCGCCGCGGTGAGCGAATTGGTCAACTCATCAAACACATCAAAACATGACAGAGTCGCACGGGTTACCGAAGATCAGTGCCCATGCAGCAACCAATGTCCAACACCTTCTTGTTGGCCACATTTTCGAGGATGCGGTTGTAATAGGGAAGGAAACGCATTCGCGGAAGCATAAACCGCATTTCTTGGATGCAGCGATAGGGAAACACCTGCGCAAAACGGCATCGGATTGAAAGTTGAGAACGATAGGCAACGAGAGGAGCAAGAGGAATGAAATGGCACCAAATCCATCATGAACTTTGTCCGAGACAAACACGCATACCTCGAGTGCTTGCTTTTGCACACGTGTGGCAATCGCTCGAAGTTCAGTCTTGTCAGTGAGGCCGCAGTACTTTTCGAAAAGCTCATGAGTGGATGTCTCGAGGCCTTGTCGCATTTGAGCTGATCAAAACAAGCGATAGCCAGTCATGAGCAGACAGCCACGATCGAAGGTCTGAGCCAGCGATGGGAGATCAGCGACTACAAACCTCGCCAATGGTCATCGAGAATCGCAGCAATGCTGGCAGCAGTCGCCGGCGACGTCACAAACGAGGTTGGCTTGTCAAGAATCGCTTCCAGCGCAGCAGGGAACGCGGGCAGTGCTCCGGTGGCCTGCTTCACCGTATCCGAAAACTTTGCTGGGTGGGCAGTTGCGAGGGAGATGACCGACGTGCTGTAAGAGGGGGAAAAATTGAGGAAGAGCAAGTTAGTGATGTTTGTTGCGCATTTTTGGTCGTTCGTTCTCTGTTTTGTGAAATCCCGTACCTGGATCGATCGGCCACCTTTTCCAGGTAATGCAGCGAGGCGGCGTAGCTGGTGGCAGAGTGAGGGCAAAGGATGTACTTGCGAGCGCTTGCAGTGCGTTGAATAATGTCAATGATCTGGAAACGAAGCAAGCGTCAGTCTCTTCAAGCCCAAAAAATTCAGTACTTTGAACTTCATTGTGACTTTACGTACCTCGCTTTGACCCACAGCGCAACTGTCAAAATCGCCCTGAGCGATTTGAACAAGCGAGGGAGAAATCTGATTTGGTTCAGAAAAACAAAACCCAAAATCCTGGTTGAGTGTCATTGAAGTGCATCTGGTTGGCGTCGTAGGTCTCTCTCCAAACTACCTCGATTTTGCCGTTATCGCGCAACTGAGCCATCCATGCTCCGACTTGACGTGGGTCTTGGCCAGCCAAGTAGAACAAGTAGCGCTCAAAGTTGCTGGAAACCTGATTGGCGTGACAATCTCAGATGTCAGTGCGGGGTTACTATAGCGTATGACACCAGCAAGATTCGAATGCCCAACCTGAATGTCCATCGAGGGAGCGTAGGTCTCGACAACATTCTTGCGCGAGTAGTCGCCAGTCGCAAAGAACCGGTGAAGAATGTCGTTCGCGTTGGTTGCCACGATCAGCTTGTGGATTGGCAAACCCCTAACCAGGATGATTAGATCATGAGTTCAACTGATCTCCTTTCTAGAAGTTCTCCATCATTGCACCAAGCGGGAGATGGCTCAGTCTTACATTCGCTTGGCATAATAGCCAGCTAGCACGTCGCCAAAGTTGCCAGTAGGAACAGAAAAGACGACTGTTGAAGGATTCGTGCAAGGCCGACGTGAGTAATCTAACAACAAAAGAACAACAAACGAGACGAATAGACAAAAAATGAACAAGAGCAACCTCACCCTTGCTACCCGCGCGCTCAGGGTGAGCAGCTTGAAGCTGAAAGTATGCGGAAAAGTAGTAGACAATCTGCGCGAGAATCCTGGCCCAGTTGATCGAGTTGATGGCTGCAAGATTGTGCTTTTCGCGAAACACGGGGTTGTTGAAGAGCTCCTTGACAATGTCTTGACAATCGTCGAACGTGCCTGCGACCGAGATGCAGTGGACGTTCGGGTCGTCGACGGTGGTCATTTGCTTTTCTTGAACATGCGCGACTTTGCCGGTCGGGTAGAGAATGAACACTTGGACATTCTTCCGGCCGCGCAGTCCATAGATGGCGGCGCTTCCAGTGTCCCCGCTGGTTGCACCAAGGACGGTGATTGGTCGAGCACCCGGCGTGGTGGTCAAAAAGTGCTCAAACAGATTTCCCAAGAATTGCAGCGCAACGTCCTTGAACGCGAATGTCGGTCCATGGAAAAGCTCGAGCACGGACAAGGCGCCATCTTCCGAAGCCTACCCCCCCCAAGCATAGATGTTAGGACATTATCTGCGTGCATATTCCAGCACATTGTTCGGTCCTGTTATCGAAGGATGTGGTTGTGGATGAAGATTCTGATCGTTGGCTTTACCTCGACCAACGGGGTCACTTTCGGGGATGTGAACGACGTGCCAAAGCTGCGCTCAACCAGCTCAGTGAGAGTGGCGTCGTCGAGCTTGTCGTTGTCTGGATGGACAAACCGCTTGATGACTTGAACCGCGAGCAATCCAAAGTCGAGCTTGCTCCACTCTGCCAGCGTCGCAGCGTCAATGACTGGGATCTGTCGCGCACAATATACATACATATAGACAAACCCCCAACAAAACGAGTATGCATGTTGAGTTGAGATGCAAGGTCACAGTCGGCCTCAATCTCACAATCACCGACAACCCTCCAACCCTCTAACCCCAACGCCACACCCCGCGTATCACCCATATCACAATGCTCTGGATTGGATCTCTGTCATCACTGACCTCGTCTGGAACAAACAGGCCGCCGTCGCTCGCGAGTCCGCGCATGACAGTCTCGCGGAAGCCGAGATGCTGATCGCCGCCGCGCGTGCTCGAGTACGTGATGCCAACCATTTGGGGGGGGAGGAAAAGAGAGTGAGTCAGTGAGTCAGTGAACAGTAGGAAATTGATGGATGGATGATCATGGTGATAGTGATGGTGATGATGGTGGTGATGGTGGTGATTGACCTGGGACGCACGATGAGTGCTCGGAGGTACAGTAGTGAATTCAATCTCACAGTACCAGGTAGTACTGAGCTCAAGATACCTCCGCATACAATCAGGCATGCTTCATTAGTGACTCGGGTAATGTTCCGGGCAAGGTTGTATCAATTCTGAGACCGGCTCAGCGTTTGCCGGTTTTTAAGCTGTTCTTTGAGCTGATTCTCTCTTGATTCTCTCTGCTGCTGCGACCTGCGACAATAGACCGATGGACAGATTCGATGTTTTACTTTTTCTCAACCGAAATGGGAGTCTCAGAATCGTTTCAGTCCTTTCGTCGTTTGATTCCAATACTATGCCAGTTGAGCGAAACCGCGTCGTTGTGCGCGTCCCTGCGACGACAGCCAACATGGGTCCCGGCTTTGACTGCATCGGTGAGCCCGAGCATTGTTTCCCCTTGCAATTGGGCGGACGGCGGCTGTGCGTGGATGTCGAGGAGCGCAAAGGGAGGGCGACCAATTGATATGACCGCAGCAAGCTGATCGTGATCATCATTGAATCTGGCAGGCATGGCGCTCGGCATCTTCAACGAGCTGATTGTCGAGCGAAGCGACGCCTTTGCAATGGAGATTATCGGCGAAGGGCAGGCCGAACTGCCGCGAGACGCCTCAAACCTGGCAAGTTACCAAGCGTATCCGAGTTTTCTCAGAACTGAGTGACTCGGACAAATATTCATTGTAAAATGGACTATTGATTGTATTTCTTACTCTGTGTTTGCCGCACTTGTGACTTGTGGAACCCAGGTTGTCGTTGGCGTTGAGGCCGCGTTCCGGATTGCTGGCAAGGTCGGTTTTTGGATTGTCAATGCTGCTCCAATGTTGCTCCATTACTTCAAACAAGCATCAAATCAAGTGCTGATTGACCTTTTTTGTTGGGTGTGCGTGATACTGCTACGACAGACGACCCCGACCTTGTCGTATGTGCTCAAAAATGCCATCCCGTTCGCTCGCGGTCTCGGCAGCTCGTCTGCGGCGATCGTTGCAGGGCTGCTAGCGGGACTGACGTTGGCAGGGCACGGTATGTAGTGGATAGTGTATGATGGTCGAGCTCGACACTGCCTGCATTGCGAAACTAAACAAGTCCTAATCTTTCGACATGAAATCCCGCGTTTCAGAGCTCTCGGTGCAGCAGGACGAAGAACTGTTGAACATTGCCGCGGGTAAGATGTCTGTCGTTCTTGCTTCTCTTTCAACATTGTGCAGTGTGAACTCGGCTCTCAAACACAAATTGGGATGCTTCTCACAGATCTCGAAGGACACCCAGACAACGTGGCCCCGTGCATTTATGGCGGCTTGCAAATTGGCGTTCATACTGGACGACGATGGATGAGCACGCGTGTGAGTGTGCCGCACGGTCTGCAGGCGGTGCTGTTTGTTCCCGACACGCCAATGGAAACTGCAACGGCTCGCGCAGTTCTCCTTCCCACAGTAAGGCTCTGCTAACAGTCTCCGTTGTTGATGCCTTTTCACTGCATTTGCTTGGGCTTGATCGCTGTTGAAACACTATGATGACTGAGTGGTTTGTGTGTTTGATCATCGCTCCTCGTTCCCAGATTCAGCGATCCGAGGCAGTGTTCAATATCGGCCGGGCGGCCATGCTCGTGCACGCATTCAACACTGGTCGTCTCGACAAGCTGCAAGAGGCTACTCGCGATGCGCTGCACCAGCCTCAGCGCAGTGGAATTATGCCCGTGCTCTTCCCCGTCATTGATGCTGTACGATTGAAAGCGCCACGCAGCCTTTTTTTTTTACTTCCCAGCCTCCTAACTGTCTCGCGACGCTTTGTTGTTTGTTCGTGTGGCAGGCGATTGCGGCAGGCGCGCATGGAGCATTCCTCTCGGGCGCTGGCTCGACCATTTTGGCACTCACGAGCGGCCGTCGCGGCGACGTCTATGTGCAACGGAGCGATGAGCGCAAAGAGAAGGAGGTCAGCGACGCCATGCTTGCTGCCGCGCGCGCACACAACATGCCCGGCAAGATTTACGTGACCCACCCAGTCGAGTTGGGCGCACACGTCGTCTCGGTCGAGCCCGCGGATGCCTCCAATTCGCAATCGGTTTAGTCGTGCAGAGCAGAAGCGGGATGCCCCTGTGCTTCTTTGTGTTGAATCAAACGCATTCAGAAACTGTTCTCTTTGTGTTTTGTTTGTGGTTTGTCTTTTTTTCCATTTACTGATGGTGGCAGCAGAGCCACTCATTTGACAACAACAAATGTAGAGTACATCAACAATACAGTTCAGACGGTACAGCCCAAACACACACACACACACACACACACACACACACACACACACAACAAAAAGAACAGACGGAACGAACAGAGCGAGAATCCGTGAACTTTACATGACTGCGTTTCAACTCATCGTTACATGAGCTGCTCGGTCAACGCGGCATCGATGCGAGCAGCCGCTGCTTGATTCACTTCGCCGTGATCAATCTCATCGTTAAAGCTCTTCCAGTTCTCTTCCGACACGCCTGAGAATGAAAAGGTCAAGGGATGCTCGTCACCAGTCATCGGGGGCCTGGAGGAGGACGGGGTGGAGGCCGTGGAGGTCCCGGTCGACGTCGAAGAAGAAGACTGAGTGGCGGAAAGATAGCTCGCAGACAAGCCGGACGATGTAGAGCCACCCTTGTGAGTGCGGGCGGAATGCGCAGGGAGCTCGGACAGCGCCGGCACGCCCATCAGCGGATGGTGCTCCAAGTCCGACACACGCTGCATGCTCAAGGAGAGCGCAATGCGAGCTGCCTCCTCGTCTTCCGTTTGCTCGATCGCCACATCATGCACAAGCAGCCCTTGGCCGCTGGTTGTCGACACAAATTCATCCGGCGACGGCGACTTTGCAAACTCGTCAAAATCGCCATCGTCTTCGGCGTGATCGACAAGCGTCCATGCAAACGCCTCGTCGTCTTGGGCGTCCAGACACGCGTGCACAGCCGCCATTCCGAAACGGCGGTCAAGGTACTGACGACGGAGCGTCATCTGCGCGTTGCGCACGCACGTTGCGGTGAAAAAGTAGTTTGACCCTGCTCCCACAGCGCCACCCACAACAGGGATGAGCTGGAGGAGCTTGCTCTTTGCAAAGTGGGCCGCCAGGAAGATTGAAATCTGTTTGTGGGAAGGATGGGGGCAAAGGGAAGGGAAGGGAAGGGAATGGAAGGGAAGGAAAGCAAGCGACAATGACAAATGAGTTTCGGCATCACAGGAATTGCAATCGCCGCACAAAAGAAAACGAAACACGGGCTACTCACATTCTTGATCACCTCAGTGACAACGCCCTTCTCCACATCGGTAATGACGTCCTTGCGAAGCGTCTCGAGCGAAACACGACGCTGCCACTCGCTAACAAGATCGTGGGCGGCGCTGTGTGCACGCACAGCATCGTCTTGGGCTTCCGCAAGCATGGAGGAGCACGAAGACACAAACAGGTGCAGAACGACGGCGGGCTTGGCGTAGTACTGGCCGCCATAAATGTAGCCGAGCTGAGCGAGAACGCGGCAGTTCAGCGCAATCAGCAGGGGAATGTCTGCCGTCATGAAGAGCAGCCCGCCAAGGCCGAGACCAGCGCCTTGGATGAACGACGCCAGGTACGACGGGGACGCGTAAGTGGCAGCCAGCTCGTCCAGCTGCTGGAGCGTAAACAGGTCAAACTCTGCAGGCGAGTGAATGCTTTCCGCCAAGCCGCTGCGCGCTGCAAACGTCATCATGTTGTGCTGCAGCGCGTCGAGGGAGACGGTGTCGAGGGCCAGCGATTCGATTCTCACGAGGCTACGAGTGGGATGAAAATGGGGCAAACAGCAAAAAAGAAAACGCAATCAAATCGGCAGAGGCGTTAGTGTGCGGTCGCAACAAGAAATCGGGCACTTGTCTCACAAAACCTTCCGTGTCAACGGCCTCCCTGCATCGCAATACGTACCAGTCATAAATGGCGTTGGTCGTCATCTGAGAAATGGCGCTCGAGCCAGTCAACCAATCCCACCAGGACGTGGCGGCTCCTGGTTGTGCAGCCTTGGCACTGTCGGCGTCGGCTGTGGTGGCCGGAGCGGGAGAGGGCGTAGGAGTTGCCGTTCTCGGCGGGGTTGCGGCAACAGCTTGTTCGAGCTTCTTCTTAGATTTGTGGCTCTGGTGGACCTCGTGCAACGTGTCGCGCTCCCACTTGAGCACTTCTCGAGCAATACGCGACTCGTACTCGTTCATCATGCTGGCAATCGAAACGACGGGTCCGGTTTCCTCATCGGCACCGGGCCCGGGACTATGCGCGGGAAGGCTGGCTGAGACAGCCTGGTTGGTGTCGGTAGTTTCCTCGCTCGTCGTCGTCGCTGTTGGAGTACTTGCAGCGGGAGTTGCCTCCGCCAGACTCGGCAGCGACGACACCAGTGCGTTCGACAGCGCAACTCCAGACGCCAGCGCAGACGGCGGCGGCGGGCTCGGCACAGCGACCAGTTCGCCGCAACTGTCGGAGTTGGTCATCATTTTCGGCTTTTTGAGGCTTTTTTTTTTGGCTGTTCTGACACAAAACGGACACGCGGATGGGGTTTGCAGTGAGCACGGGCCGAGATAGAAAGAGAAGTAAAAGTCAGCAACATCAAAGGGTTGTAACAGCAGGAGAAAGGGCGGCGATGGAGTGAGAGAGAGAGGGAAGAGAAGAGCGGCACAGCGAAATAGGGTTTAGCGAGGTGGACGCACCAGCCCCTCCCCCTCAAAACAACAGCCGCTATCGCACAATAGAGTCGAGCCACGAGGGATTGGTTTGTTGTAATTTGAGAGGAAAGAGAGGGAGGTTTGGCAGAACGAGGAAGAGCGACAGAGGTTGGAGCGAAAAAGCGTCATCAGTCAAAAGCAAGCATTGGCAACCTGAACAGCGAGAACAGTCAAACAAAGAAAATCAAAACTGAGACCAAAAAAAAACAATCTCGCTCAGAAATGAACATTTTTTTCATCTCATCAATGCGACAATCAACAAGTCTGCAGCCAAAAGTCGATTTCAGTTCCACTTCCAAATTCAATACAAATTCAATACAAATTCACTCCAAACTTTTTGTATGTTTCTTTTCGTTTTGCGTTGTAATTCTTCCATCAGTTTTTCCATCAGTTTTTGTTTGCTTTCTTGCTCTTTTTTTTTTATTTTTTTTTCCATCCTCCACTTCTTCTTCTTCTTCTTCTTCTTCTTCCCTCATCTCGCCTGCCTTAACACAGTTTGCCTTGTGTCTGTTTCGCATTGCTCTTCTCCCTCGTTCAGCTGACTGCAGCAGCAGCTCGCTGTGAAAAGCAAGCCGCAACAATCCAAAGATCGTTTCTTTTTTTTTTTTTTGCCATTCTTTTCGCTGGTTTCTTCCTTCTGCTGTTCATCCGACTCCCCCACGCCCCGTCCATCACTTACTCACTGCCGATCTTGTTGCGCTCGCTCGCCCGCCGGGTGTGTGTGTGTGTCGCTGTCCCTGTCGTCAATGTCGCTCGCTGTAAACTCAAACTTCATTCTGTTTTATTTTATTTTTATTTATTTTTTATTTTTTTGAACCCAAACATTTCCTTTTTCAAATTTCACTCACTTTTTTTTTTTTTTTTTTTTTTTTTTTGTTTGGTATTTCTAGGATTGCCAAAACTCAAAGCGCAGTGTTGACTGGCCAGAGTCCGCTGTCAAACATCCATTCAAAACCAGTGTCTTTCTAAAACAAAGCCAAAACAAAAGCTCTCAAGCCAACAATGTCGGAACCGCACCACCTTCTGTCGGAGCCCATCTCGTGCCATGCCTGGAACAAGGACCGCTCGCAGCTGGCCTTCTCGCCCAACAACCACGAAATCCACATCTACAAGAAGGAGGGCAACACCTGGGTCAAGTCGCAGGTCCTCACCGGCCACGACCAGCGTGTGACGTCGCTCGACTGGGCTGCCAACACCAACCGCATTGTCTCGTGCGGCGCCGATCGCAACGCCTACGTGTGGACGATCACCGACAACGAGTGGAAGCCCTCTCTTGTCATCCTGCGCATCAACCGCGCGGCCACCTTTGTCCGCTGGTCCCCCAAGGAGGACAAGTTTGCCGTCGCCTCGGGCGCCCGCCTCATCTCAATCTGCTACTTTGAGGCTGAGCACGACTGGTGGGTCAGCAAGCACATCAAGAAGCCCATCCGCTCCACCGTCCTGACCCTCGACTGGCACCCCAACAACGTCCTGCTGGCTGCCGGCTCGTCCGACTTTAAGACGCGCATCTTCTTTGCCGGCATCAAGGGCGTCGACGAAAAGCCCCAGCCCACTCCTTGGGGTGGCAAGAACGCCTTTGGCGACTGCGTCCGCGAGCTCTCGCACGGCCCTGGTGGCTGGGTTCACTCGGTCGCCTTCTCGCCCTCCGGCAACCGTCTCGCCTGGGTCAGCCACAACTCGAGCATCTCTGTCGTCGAGGCTGGCGACGCCACCGAGCCCAAGACTGTCACCTTCTCGACCCTCCCCTACGTCACCCTGCTCTGGGCGTCCGAGAACTCGATCATCACGGCCGGCTTTGAGTACTACCCCGCTCTCTGGGACGTCTCGTCGGGCACCCCCAAGTTTGTCAACAAGCTCGACCACGCCGTCAAGAAGGCTGCCGTCGAGGGCAACGCCATGTCCAAGTTCCGCAACCTCGACACCCGCGCCACCGAGGGTGAGGAGACTGCCCTTGACACTGTCCACCAAAACCCCATCACCCAGCTTTCGCTCTTTGCTGGCACCAAGGACCGCGTCACCAAGTTCACCACCACTGGCTCTGACGGTCGCCTTGTCAACTGGGATGTCAAGGCTCTCGAGTCTGCCATCTCTGGCCTCAAGTTTGCTTAAACGAGCTCGCGTTGTTTTGGGGGGGCTCAGCTCTTCCCCTTTTGCCGTTTTAGCAAACATGCAAATGTAGCTCTTTTGTGGTCTTTGAGTGTTTGTTTGCTGTGCAAATCTAATGCTTTGTGAATAGACACCTTTTTTTTTTTTTTCGAAAGTCAAGCCAAACGCTCGTTTTGATGATGTCGCATCAATCCATGGTCATTTCATGCATGTACTCTCTCTCAATGTATCTAGCTACACTTGTGATGAACGCATTGACGCACAGTCCCTGTATTTGCACTTCATCCAGAGTCGATGAGCCGATTCCAGCATCTCGTTCAGGTTTGAGCCTCCGCTTCTGCTGCTCCAGACCAAAAGTTCCCCCTCTCTCAATTTCCGTTGTTTGAATCTGTATGACTCTTCTTCAAATGCCCAGGCCGCCGTGCACAGCGCGGTCGCGCAAGCACCAGCAGCAGCCGCGCTTTCCTCCGTTCTGGCCGCAACGAGCAGCCTGTCGCCGATGGTGGCCAAGTCCTCTTCTGCAGGATCGCCCTTCTACTCGTACGCCTCGCCGACGGTGGGCGCAGGTGTCATCCCGACGGTGGTCGAAAACACGGTAACAGAATTCGTTCTTGGCTCTTGGTCTCCTACTCGTCATCAATCAGACCCGAGGCTGAACGGACTGTCTGGCGAAGCGCGTTCAAGCATTGCGTCTGCAACCTGGGGTTTTTTGTTGATGGCATTGAATTCTGGGTTGACCAAGACTGTCGGAACTCACTGAGATCGAATGCTGTTATAGGGCAAATCGGAGCGCTGGTTTGATCTGTTCTCACGATTGCTGCGAGAACGCATCATCTGTCTCATGGGACCTGTAAATGACCATCTTATGGTTGGATTTGTAGGAGGTGGAACGGTGTCAGCGGTACTCACTCCTGCTCAAATTTTTGCTCCCCGCACCAGATTGACGATTCCACGGCATCTGTGATTGTCGGCCAGTTGCTCTTCCTTGAAGGCGACAATCCACTCAAGCCAATACACATGTACATCAACAGTCCCGGTGGCGTGGTGACGGCCGGCATGGCAATCTATGACACGATGCAGTACGTCCAGTCTCCAGTGTCGACCATCTGCATGGGTCAGGCAGCATCGATGGGCTCTTTGATTCTGGCCGCCGGTGCCAAGGGGCAGCGCTTCATCCTCCCACATGCTCGTGTCATGATTCACCAACCTCTGGGTGGCGCTCAGGGTCAAGCGTCTGACATTGCCATCCAAGCCCGCGAAATTCTGAAAATGCGCGAGATGCTGAACCGAATCTATGTTGAGCACACTGGTCAGCCCCTGAAACGCATTGGTACGCATTCGTGATGTTTGCTTTTGTCATCGTGAAGCTCCTGGTCAAGGGTCATTTCTGATGAATCTCCGCGTGTTTCTTGGTTTTGTGTTTGCAGAGGATGCCACCGAACGCGACTACTTTATGAATCCCGAAGAGGCCAAGGAGTTTGGAATCATTGACCAAGTCATTCAAAAGCGTGACATTACTGTCCCAGTGTAAAACAACTCTTTGGGCAACCTCTGCCAAAATGCCAACCAAATTTTGTGCCTGTTGTTTGTTTGTTTGTTTGTGTGTTTGTTTGATTGGTGCCTCCTTTCACACATACACATACACACACATGCACGCACCTTTCAATACATGCGTTTGTTAAAATTCACTCGGAGCAGCGCGATGAACGACTTCAGAGAAGAAAAGGACAGTGTAGGCAAGCGAAAACAAGCTGAACATTCGTTCGTGAATGTGCTGCACGCCTTGCAAGTACTCCGCTTCGTCCATAACGAGCTCGACAAAACGCAAATGAAACTCAAAAATCCGTTATCCGAGCTGCTAGATCTACAAAAGATAGAAAAGACGTTTGGTGTATTCTTGACAACTGAATGCAATCATGGGTTGCCTTAGCTTTCGCTGCAAGGAATAAAAAAACAGGGGGGGTTGGGTTGGGGGGGAAGCTGCGTTAAAACTTTCCTTGTTTTGTTTTTTTACTTGCGAACCTTCTTGCCGACTGGCTGTGTGTTCAAGTTGGAAAGCCATTCGTTGCTGCCAGAGCTGGAAGTGCCAGTCTCGATAGCCGTGACCTTCTTGGTCTTCTTGGCCGATTGAGGGGCAAGCTGCTGGTACGCGAAGAAACCACCGCCGCCAATGAGGGCAATCAGGGTGACAATGGTGTACAGAGTCTCGATTTGGAAGGGCTCGTCGGCCTCAATGACGGTGACAGTGCTGTTGAAGACAGAGTCGACGTACTCGGCACCAGTCGTGTCGTTGTAGTAGATGTTCAGGATGAGGAAGTGCGAGCGAGCCTCGTACTCGGGACGGAAGACATACTCGAACGAGGCCTGGGTCTGGGCAACGACGTTGACGCCGAGCTCCTTGGCGGTGAAGTTCTGGTTGATGTGCTTGAGATCCTGGGGGTGACGGAACTGGCCAACAACGCCAATGACGGTAATGTCGTTCAGGCCAGTGTTGGAGACGCCGATGAGAGCGCGAACAATCTCGCCGCCGGGGAATTCTGGATTGAGGGAGTTTGTTCCAATGTGAGTCGAGGGCGGATGGACGACAAGCAAAAACAACAGCAACAAGACGCGACAGCATTCAATCCCAAAAGCAACCCACCGTTGTCTTGAGTTTCGGTAAACAGAATGGTAGTCTTGACGTCGGGGGAAGGGCCAGCAATGCGGAACTCCTCTTCCGAGAAGTTAACATCGGGGATGTCCTGCGATGAACGAGAAATAGAGAGAAAAAAAATCAATGAGGTCGACTCCAAAAGATCAAAGCCAGTCTGGGCGAATGAGACGAACAAACGGACTTACAACAATGCCATCGGACTCGCCTTCGACGACGGTCTCATCTTCAACGTCCTGAGCGCGAACTGTCACAACAAGGCACAAAGTCACGATGTGAGCGCAAAAGGAGGACAAAATGAATCTTCGAGTGAGCACTTGATCGTCCAGAAGGAACAGACAGAAAGGCGAAATTTGAAGACATCCACCTCAGCAGCCTCTCGTTGCCAACCGCACCATTGATGGATTGCCACCGAGCGAACAAAAAAAGTGATCCGATCCCGCTGCACTCAGTGTAAACGCAGCACCACGTCAACATCCCAAAAAAAAAAAAAAAAAAAAAAAAAGCCGTTGAAAATCATTCATCGCTCTTCTCGCTTGCAATGCGGTGTCAGTGCGTCGCGTTCGACCTGCGTATGCAAATCACGAAACATCACAGCATGTTGACGCGATTGGCTCAAACGCAACGCAGCCTCGGATTCGACTGACTGACTGGAGGAGAAAGCGGATGATTGAAACACACACACAAAAAAAAAAAAAAAAAAAAAAAAAGATCTGCGATCACATTTTTTTTTTTCCTTTCGACTTGTTCTTGCGCTTCTTCTTCAACGCGAGATCGTGTGTTGCTGTTGTTGTGTTGAGCTAAGTTGTGCTGAGCTTGGGGGGGAATGACGAGGAAGGTGGGTGGCTGGAACTGACCAACGACGAAAGGGCTAGCGACGAGGCCAACCAACAAAAGCACAGCCAGCAACCAAGCCAAACGCATTTTGAGAATTATTGGGAAAAAATAATAATAAATGAATGAAATGAAAATGAAATGAAACAAAAGGATACGAAAATGGCTGGAAACGAGAATTTGCTTGTTTTACGTTCTTCAAACTCACCAACGCTTGACAATCATGAGACAAAAAGCTCGCTCAATACACGGCCTTCAGTGCTCGGCATGTCCAAGCCCATGATTGCGGCAATGGTCGGCGCAATGTCAATCAATCGCACAGAGTCGATTTGCACGTTCGAGCGAATGTTGGCACCGTAGGCCAGAAAGCTTGCGCGCATTTCGGCGCCGTGATTCGGACTCCATCCGTGGGTGGCCTTGCTGACAACCGGCGCTGAATTGGGATGCAGCACACACTTCTCAGCCACACAAAACGGGGAAACAAACGAACAAATTGCTACAACACTCACCAGCCGGATTGTCCACGAACATGACATTCAAGTTGGACTCGAGAACGACATAGGCGTCGGGGAAGGCGGCGTAGGGCAGCAGTTCGGCGGGCGACCACACGTGATACAGCGAGTCAGAGTTTTGCGCAATAAACTCGTTGAGAGCCTGGTCCACGAGCGTTCGTTGGGCCGTGGAGGCATTCGCATTGACATAAATGGCAGAGCATCCACCGCTGCTGACATAGTATGCAACGTAATCCAATCCATTCTGAGGAGTCGTGAGATTGTACTTTTCAAACACGGTTGCTGGCGAAATCACGGTGGAAATGTTTGAAAAGCCTGTGTGAATGACCGATTGTCGGCGTAGAAATGTGCGTGTGTGAGTGAGGATTAGATGCTTTTAGCGGTGAGAACACGCGCAGAAAACGACAAAACTGACCATGATCCGAGACCACAATCCATGTTGTGCTGTCGAAAACGCCGTTCTTTTGCACAGTGGCAATGACATCTCCAAGCGATGCATCAATGTACTCGAGCTGGGCAATGGCGGCCTGGCTCATGACTCCCGTTGCGTGTCTGACAGCAAACCAAAAATCCCCTTGTGAACAATCCAACTCAAACGCCTCCAAACCCCCGACCAAAAAAAAACGGCTCACTGACTCAATCTCATCAAGATCGTCGTAATGCAACGCCATGAACTGTGGCAGCAAGTCTGTGTGAAAGCGCTGTGCAATCTGCCCGCGCTGATCATCCGACACTTGGCGCATCGATTGGGGCGTCGGCAGAATGTCGTAGACTGGGCCCTTGCAAGCAGAAAAGAGCCATCTGGCCTCATCGAGACTGTTTGGAGCGTCCACGTTTCCCGGGAACAAGTACGTGATGGGCGCTCCGACTGTGCTTCCGCAAAATACGCAAAATATATCAGAATTGAGACTTTGGAAACCGTCTCCTCCCCCCGCAACCTGGGGACCAACCTGTGACGGGCCAGTCAATCGCGGCGGTCGTAAAGTTTCGCGAGTTGCACGCATCAAAGACTGTCTGGGCCGTGATGCCTGGGTAGAAGTAGTTCATGTCGGCGTTCGTGTTCGCAGGATCCAGGAGGTTGTTGGCGACAATTCCATGCCGCGCAGGAGGGACTCCAGTAATCATTCTGTGTTGCACCCTCTCACTCTCGCTCAGTAAACTTGGACATGTCGTGCTGACATGCATCGAACACTGCCTTTCCGGCTTACGACGTATGGCTGGGAAAGGTGACTGCGGGAAATTCGCTGATCGCACCAGCGGGACTCCACACGCCTCCACGGATGAGCTTGAGCAGATTCGGGATGCGAATGTCCCCTTGATTGTAAGCGCGTGTGAGGTAGTCGTAGCGCATCCCGTCTCTGATGATGACGACCCAAAAAGAAGAGTCGAATCCCAAAAAGTGAGTTCTCCGACAGGGTTTGACACTCAAGCGTAATGGTGAAGGTACATTGAGACCAAGACGACGCGAGGAGTGTCGTTTGGAACTGGAGCGGCCCATGCACTCGCAGCAGTCGCAACTGCAGCGCAGAAGAGGAAGAGTAGGACGGGTGCGGACGCGGTCATCAGGATCGAAAAAGCGACTGACCAAAAGATCCGTTCGTTTGCGCTTACGACTTTGTCATTTCTTGCCTCGAATCGATTGCAATGCATTGTATTGTGGTAGTACTGTCTCTTGCTGTAGGTTGGTTGGGTTTTTTGAATGAATTGGCAAAAAAAAACAAAAAAAGAAAAACGATGCTTGACGTCATTCGTGCTGCTTGAAAGCAACTTGCCCAAGCATTGTATTTTGTAAGCGAGCCACTGGAACCACGATACGCAATTGAGCCTAAAGCAATTTCCTCCTTGTCACACCTGTCCGCTCAAAGCCCGAGCGGACTCGTGACGGTCGAGGTTCCAAACTCGACACTCGCTTACTCCCCTCTTCCTTTTTTTGGTTCTTTTTTCCAACTTTTTTTTTTTTTTTTTTCGGCCGAGATCTTGCTGCAACGATCAACCCGCTCTGAGCCGTTAGGACTGCATAAAGTTTGACATTATTGTCGTTCTCTCTCTTTTTTTTTTTTTTTTGTTTTTTGGAAGGCTGTGAGAGGAAGCAACTTGAGATTTTGTTCGCTTCTCGTTTGAGCTTTGAACGAAGGCGTGTGTACCACCACCACCTTGACGATGATCAAATGCTTCATCAACGTAGAGCAGCCATTCGCCGAATCGTACGGAATCGTCGAAAGTTTGTATTGAAAAGCCAAAAATGCTGAATTCCACACTTTCAACCATTTCCCATTGATCAACTCGAGCAAGGGCAGCTGCAAACTGCAACCATCTTCATCATCATGCAAAGTGGCCCATACTGGGACTCGGGAGAACGAGGGGCGGGCTGCGTTCACACCATGGCGCCAATGTCGCGAATGGTCGTGTCATCCTGAAGCGCTGTCAACGTTGCGACGAGCTGAGAAAAGCTTGGGCGCTGCTCGGGAGACATGTGCCAGCAACTCAGCATCAAGTTGTAGAAATCAAGCGAGCAACTTTCGGGCATGGGCAGTCGACCACCGGCTTCGACATGAGCCCAAATATCGCGCGCGTCGATCGTGCCGTATGGCTTGTCGCCGTAACTGCAGCATTCCCCTACAAAGTACAAAGGCGCCGGAAATGAGATGATAACACTTCACCTATTGCACGCCACCACACATCCATGAACTTACAGGCAGTCACACCGAACGACCAGACATCAGACATTGAAGAAAACTTCCGGCGAGCGAGTGCTTCCGGTGCCATCCACTAGGAGGAGCAACTGCAATCAGCATCACCTCGTCCAAACATTTACTGCCAGCACACCCTCGACTCACCTTTGCAGGAACCTTGCCACGCGTTTGCATGCGATAGTAATCGCTCTCATCCGCCAGCTCGCGAGAAAGACCAAAGTCGGCAATCTTCACGACCATGTTTTGCCCCACAAGGCAGTTGCGTGCGGCAAGATCACGGTGCACAAAGTGGAGCGTGCCAAGATATTCCATGCCCAGTGCAATCTGACGCACGGCATGAACCTGCTCGTTTTGTGTCCACCAGAGCGACTTGTTTTTCGATGTTTCCAGCAATGATCGCAAATCTCCGTATCGCACAAACTCAATCAATACGAGATGAGGCTCCGACTCGACGAGAGCCGCCAGCAGGTGCACAACATTCGGATGCACAAACGGCGCCATGAGTCTCGCCTCGCTTTCAAAGTCCTTGCGGGATTTCTCGTCTGCGTTGGACTTGAGAGACTTGACTGCAACTTGCACCTTTTCAGAGGATGTAGATCCAAGCAGGCCTTGGGCGCGGGGCGGCAGAACGGCGAACGGCACTTCGCCCAACGACACATCACCAAAGTTGCCGCTAGCCAAATGCTTGACAATCGCCAGACCTTCACGAATGCGATGAGAGTTGCTGCCTGTCATGTAGACGATTTCATTGTCGTAGATGTCGTCTGGGGAGGTCGACGAGACGGCGTGGTACAGAGGTTCCGACGTGGGCTTTTCTGGCACTTCATAACTTGGAATGTCGGCTTTGTTCTCACGCACATGCGCGTTCTGCATCTCTTCGTAATGGACATGGGCTTCCTTGTGTTGGCCGCCGGTGGGGGTCTTTTCTGGCATCTCGTACCGAGAAGCACCTTCTGTGCCCTGGCGCTCGGGCATTTCGTACCGCGAAACGCCTTCTGGACTTGTGCGCTCGGGCATTTCATATCTTGAAGTGTTTGCTGAGCTTGGACGATCAGGGTTTGTCTCGGGGACGGCATACTGCGCAGGTCCTTGCAGGTCTTCGTGATTTGGAGACTTTTCTGGCATTTCGTACCGCAAAGCGCCTTCCGCGTTCTGACGCTCCGGACGTGTCACTGGAGCCGCATAGTGACTCTCGCTTTCTGTGCTCTCATGCTCTGGGACTTGCTGCAAGAGGTCGTACGAAGCGTCTTCTGTGTTCTGAGTTGATTGTACAAGCTCATGCTGTGCATTGCTTTCCTTGGTTGAGTGCAAGTTCGACTTGGCAAGAGGAGAAATGCTCATGACGATCGTCTCGTGCTGAATGGGCCCGGTAAAGTCCCTCGATCGCGCAACGGAACATTGTTGCAATCGACGACGACGTTGTCGTACCAGAAAGATGGCGAGCGCAATCAAACCGACGCCCAGAACGGAACCCACAGCAACAGCGATTGCCGCCACGGGAGACGCGTCAGCGGGAGTGGTGCAAAGGCGATTGGCTATGCCGTCACACGCCCTTGTCTCGTAGGTGCCCGAGCCACAGGCGGAACACAACTCGCACGTTCCCTGTGCAGTCACGTAACTTCCGCTCTGACACTGGCTGCATTGGTGGTTCGAGCTGGACGAGCAGGTCAGGCCGGTGATTGTGCAATTGGTGATGGAAGTGCATGGCACACACGTTGTGGCGGTGGATGTCAAAGTGCATTCGGCGTTTGGGTAGTGCCCGTGAGTGCATGTGATGCACGGAGAACACACTCTATCGGTGGTGGCAGTGCAGGCACCAGATGCGTAGGTGGAGCCGAGAGCGCATTCGGTGCAATTCGTGCACGCGGTTGCCGATGTGCCATCGTGATCCCAGGTGCCAGCAGCGCAAGGGGTGCAGGTCGTGCTGCCCGCGGGTGCATAGTTGCCGGCGGGACAGGCGATTGAGGCCGTCGATGGGTTGCTGTCGTGGTCGTATGAACCAGCAACGACTTTAAAGTTGGCCATGGGACCAAACAACCCAGCAGTGGTCGTGTCGTTGCCAGGACCGGCAACGAGGCAGGGCGTTGATGGGTCGCTATCGTGATCGACTGTGCCGATGCTGCAAACGAAACCTGAGCAACCTCCAATCGACGCAGCGGGAACGTACTGACCAGGCGAGCAAGGCACGCAAGGCGTGGAATAGTGAGTAACAAGGTCCGACCCGTCGTGGTCTGTCGATCCGGCTTCACAGTTATAGGGCCTTCCAAAGCCTCCCGTTGCTGGCAGCGAAACTCCACCAAGACTCAGGTAGTAGTCCGTGTCGGCAATAATGTCGGCTTCGGCTTCGCTTGCAGTGTATGAATGTGCGCAGGTAGCCCCGAGATTGTCATTGAACACGAGCGGTGTCGAGTCCCCAAAGCGTCCATTGTTGCAATCGGTTCGAATCGCAAACGACGAATCAGCCAGGAATCCACACGATGTGACAATGAAGTGCAGCGAAGTGGCGCTCCTGATTCTCCAAACCATGCAGCTTTGACGATCGTCATCCACGCACGGGTAGGTGACGGATGGCGTCGTGTAAAACGTAGCAGCAGCACTGATATTGAGCAGTGGAGCCGTGTGGCAATCGTTGGACTGCGTGCTTGCCAAGTCTGGCAGCTGCATTGCCAGCGCAACGACCGCCGCGAGCAGCGGCAGATTCAAGATGCGCATCCGCCTGTTTGATCACAACAAAATCATTCGAGTTGCAGATTGCAATAACTGTGAGCTTCTCCTCGACCAACGATGTGGCAACAAACGTTTTCGATAGACTGCCGCAGAGTCGGGTGAAGGATTTTTGTTAGGTTCTGATGTTGCTTCTCACACCCGCACCCGTCACCTTCACACCCTCACCCTCACCCCTCACTCCTCACTCGCGCTCTGTCCGCTCCAGCCGCTCCCAGCTACCCATAAGCGACTCGTGTCTCGGAATGCTTGGCTGTTCCGGCTCTCTCGCGCATGCACAGCAGCCAAACGCATTCCCGCAAAAGCAGGTTTGGGTTTGTTATGATTGTTATTCTCTTGCTATTTATGGGGCGCAGTCGGTTGGAACCAGCCAACGACTCACAGGCGCGACCGATCGATGGGAATCAAGAGGGATGACGATGGAGCGCTCTTGCTCTGGGTGGGTTGGTCAAGGAGGATGCGAGAGCGGAGGATTGAAGAGTTGACAGTGGAATACCGTTGTAAAAGACTGAGCATGCGCGCTGGTTCGATATGGGAATGAATGGAATACGCTTGTTCTAGTATTTCACATCTGTATTTGCAGATCTCGAGGATTTTGTCGGGCGTTTGCCAAGGTCAAAGTCAACCTCAACCTCAACGACAACGACAACGACAACGACAACGACGTGAACCGAAATCCTGGACAAGCCAGGATGCAACCTGTACGTTCTACAGGAACATGAATTAAATGAGCATCCTCTTCGTGGGGCTCAAAAGGAAACTCTCAGTCACTTTTGGCGCCTTTTGCCGCCTACTTTTCAAAAACAGTAATGTCCACCGCGGCCGTACCTCAAACTGAAATGCAACGGGAAGCCTTCAGTGTAAGAACTCAAGCGCTGTGGTCTTGGCTGGCGTGCTTTCGTTTGAACTGACGGGCGCGTTTTCGTGAACCAGGACGACCATTTGCTCTTTTGCGGCCTCGACACGGACGATGCCACCAAGCAACGACAGCAACAGCCTTTCGTGGCTCGACCAGACCCAGGAACCACATTCACTATTTCCCAAGATGATTTGGACGGCCTCTACAATTTTCCGGACCCGTTCAAAGGGTTGCGGCGTGAACACGGCAGAACAATCGACTTGGTGGATCGCAAACTGCCTGAAGAAATCTTTCTGGACTTGCTTGGTTCGAACAAATCACCCAAGCCTCGCTATCTGGCAGGTGTCGGTGGTGCCGGCAAAAGCAGTATCATGCTGATGCTGGCCGTACTGGCCATGCGCCACAACAAGGCCTTGTTTGCACCGGCTTCTGCTCCTGCTCCTGCTTCTACTTCGACTTCTCCCCTTGTTGCTTCAGCTCCTGGGCCTGCTCGCGCCTCATTCGATGGCGTCATCTTTCTCATCTACCAGCCCGCTACATATTCGTTCGTGGACGATACTGCCGAATTGGCGGCCTTCGGACTGATTTACGAAATGCAAGTGAACAACCGCCGCTTCCTGCAGTCTCGAATGTTTGACGAGCCCGCGTTTGAGGTACTCAAGGATGCGTTTGTGCGACGCAAGACCTCGTCTAGAGATTCTGAGGCTTCTCTCGACCAGTGGGGCCGCATCAAGGCTGCATTGAAAAGCCTCGAGTCCCAGAGTCACCGTTTTCGTGTACTCGTCCTCATCGACCAGTGGAATGCGATCATTGAAGCGAATGCACTTCCCGTTGGAGACCGGGACAAGCTCGAGGCAGACCATCCTGCTCAAGACTTTTCCAGGCTCGACGCCAGCTTCGGTTGCTCGCTCTTCGTGACTGCAATCGGCTCCTCGCTCAGCAACGGTTCGGTCGAAGTCTGGTGCGATGCGCAAGCTGGGGATGCAAAAGTGACAGTTCAGCCGCTCACTCCCGAAGAGGCTGAGACGCTACGCGCCATTTGGTACTACCGCAGCCCATCCTTGGCAGTCACTCGCGAAGAAATGCAGAGGCAGTTCCTCGACCTCGGTGGCGTTGTGCACATTTTGCAGTGGTATGCATCTTCGCACTTCAAGAATAATTTCAACTCCGATTTGCAGGACATGTACTGGAGCTACTATGGCTGCCGACTCGATAGAGTCCGAAAGCGAGCTACCAGCAAGCGCCGTCTTGTTGAAGACCTTACCGCAATATTTGTGCACGGTCAGACTCTTGAGACACTTGATGATGTATGGCTGGAGACCAACATGGTCAAGCGCGATCCGGATGACCCAAGGCGGCTGATTCCAGTGAGCCCTTGCACTCGCAGAGCTGCGCTCGCAGTCCTCAATCAAATGATGACGGATCCACGTTTCGAGGTTTGATCTATGCCATTCTAAGTCCTCGAGTGGCAGTGCGATCGAGGTGTTTGACTTGACACACCACTTGCTGTCTAAAAGTCCTATTTCGAGACGACGGCATTGGAAGAGCTTTGAATCAACACGTCTGTAGTATCTGTAGCGTCTGTAGCCTGCTCCGTCTCGAAAAAAAACCACATACACACGCACTTCAATCGCAGGACGACCCATTTATATTCGCGTCGATGCTTTCCAGATCCGTGCTCGGCATTCATGTTCATGGTCAATAGTCAATGAGTAGTCAATAAGCCAAAGCGATGGCGTTGGATTGTTATTTGAAACTCAAGAACCGTTGGCCCTTGCCCTGAATCACTGAAACATGCTAGAATTGATTTAGCCGTGTCGTATGTTTACGGAAACCGTGAAAAATGGCTGGCAAACGTTGGAGTTTTTTTTTTGCTCGGATTGGCAAAGCAGAACAAAAGTCTCACCAGAATCTTGCCAAGTTCTCACAAAACTACATTGCTAAAGCTGCATGCCGTGCTGTGGGGAACGAAACCAAACAACGCCAAAAACTATTTCCACAAGACAACTGCTGATTTGTGCAACGAGTTCAAGAAGATCCGAATTCTTCCATCCACTTTTCGTGCTTTTCAATGTCGCCAGTACCCACAGACTTGGAGACATGGCTGAGAGCAGATTGAAAGTCTTGGATGGTCACCGGCATGTCAAGTTCTTCCTTTGGCAGGTTGCGAATCTCCTCTGGCGACAGCCCGTGAATCCGACGGCGCATCGCCATCATGGACGCGTCTCGACAAACGTTGGTAATGTCCGCTCCGCTGTATCCCTCCATCTTTTTCGCAATCTATTCAGGTAGTCAGGCGCTTGGAAAGTGAGTTTGCAGTCAACCCCTTCTTCCTCGGCAATGGCAATTTGGGGCTGTTCCTCCGGCCACCTCACCTCATCCACGTTGACATCGTCAGCCTGAGCCACGCCGCGAAGATTGAGTTTGAGGAGTTGAGAGCGACCTTCGGCCGATGGCAGCGGAATATAAATGCGCTTCTCCAGACGTCGTCGCAACGCCTCGTCCAAGTCCCAAGGGAAGTTGGTGGCTACAGGTAGAGACATGGAAAGTCATCAAATGTGAGACTTGACAAGGTTGCGAAAGCAACTCGAGACAACGAACAACCTACCGGCGAGTACCATCACGACTTTGCTGGCGTCGTCGCCCACGGTGGACGATCCAACACCATCCATCTGGACAAGCAGCTCGGATTTGACACGGCGACTTGCTTCGTGTTCTTCGTGCCCTCCGCGCTTGCTGCAAATCGAGTCTATTCACGTCCGCGAATCAGAGTGAGTCTTTGCAACTCTTTTGTTTTGCCTCTTCCCTTTTTTTTTTTCTTTTTTTTTTGAAACCCCCAGCAAATTCGTCTTACCAATTTCGTCGATAAAAATGGTGCTCGGTGCGTAAAAGCGAGCCATGTCAAAGAGCAAACGAACGAGCTTCTCTGAGTCGCCGCGATACTTGGACGTCAGCGTCGAAGCAGACACGTTAAAAAAGGTCGTTCCGCACTCGGTCGCGACTGCTTTGGCCAGCATGGTCTTGCCAGTGCCTGGAGGCCCGACCATCAGCACGCCCTTCCAGGGTCGACGAATGCCGGTGAAATAGTCGGGGAGAAGCATGGGCAGAACGACTGCTTCTTCGAGCAAACGCTTGGCATTCTCCAAATCCGCAATGTCCGTCCATCGAACGCTCGGGTGTTTGGAAATAATGTCGCGCTCAAGGGACTCGATCAGGTCCTTGTCGTAACCGCTGGTATTGAACGACGCAAACGTGCGCTCCTGGGGGGGGGCATGGCACCGAGCAAACAACACAAACCAAGAGAGAGAGAAAAAGAAACCATGAGCGCATTTGCTCAAGAAAAAACAAAATGAGCTGCTTTGCTTTGTGAGATGAAAGCACTTACACCCGGCTCGTCGCCGTCAGCGTCGTTGCCTTCGCCGCCATCGTCCTCGGGCTGCTTTTCGTTCGAGCTTTTGGTTTTGCCCGCTTGATTGTACGTTTGCGACATGTGTTGAGCACCGGCGATCGCTGCAGCGCTCTTGTGTGCTGCTGAAGCTCTGTTGCCACTTGTCGCTGCCACAGCGTTGCGTCGCGCGCCGGCTGAAGGCGCGCTGCTGCGCTGCCTGGCACTTGGCTTTTCGGCCGTCGCGTCGTTCAGCGCAATCGTGAACGCAGTCGACACGGCAGCATTCCCACTTGCAGCCGAGTTCGCTCGAAGCCCTTGTCGGCTTCGCGTGGGCGTCACCGCCGTCACCCGAGGTTTGGTGCTGAGAGACCCAGGACCACCTGCGTTGCCGGCCGCGCCGCGAGCTGCGCCGCTGACTTGAGGGGAACGAGTCCTTGCCAGTGACGAAGCTGTCGCGCCCCGGGCGTTGTTGCCGCGGCGATCTCGAGCGCTTGCATCGTTCAAGTTCTCGAGCGCGTTCTGAGCATCGACGCCAGACGGAGAGGAAGCCAGTCCTCGTTTGCTTGGTGGAGCAATCGGCTGTTGCATTCGACGACGACCATCGCGCACACCTGCAGCCGGGAATGAGCGCTGGCTCGACGACGATTGCTGGGCATGGGGCGCCGCCGGGCTGGACATGTTGTCACTGTTTGCAGAAACATGGCGCCCGGGGCGATTCGCAAACGGCAATGCATAGTTGCCCTGCTGCCTTGCAGGCTCGGATCGTGCGTCGCTTGACTGACCGGCGTTGTCATCGTCTTCATTCTCCGAAATCTCGGCACTCTCGTTGAACATGCTCGGATTAATGTCGTGAAACCTTTCCAACGGAACAGCAGCATAATTGTTGGTTTGGACGTTCTCGGCCTCCTGTCAAGCCAGCAAACCATCACAATCAGACAAAAACAAAAAAGATACGTAGAGTTCGCAAGTTTGTTGCATTGACGGCTTTTTTTTTTTTTTTTTTTTTGAAACCGTTTCAGATGGGTTTTGACAGGTTTCGCTCGCCCATACCACTGCAACAGCAGGCGGCAGTCCGGCCGACTTCTTGACACCAGTGGAATCAGCATCAGTAGTAGTAGTAGTAGTAGTAGTCACTGTGGTGCTGATGGGCATGGAGGAGGCAACTTCGAGGCGGCGAAGCACTTTGAGCTCCAGAACGAGCTGGGCAAGGAGCGCGCGAAGACCAGCAGGCGAGCCGTGCGCCGGCGAGGATGGTGCAGCCACCAGCGCGCCGTGAATGGCCTCCATGCACGACGTGAGTGTCGACACGGCAGTGCGATAGTCGCCGCTCAGTGCACACTCGTGCGCAGCGCGGATGCCGTCAGCGAGCATATTGTCAAAATGGCGCGTGAAACGGCAAAAATTCAAAAACTGAACACTGCCAGGTAGGTTTGGCGATTGGTAATTGTGTTGTTTGCATCATTACTACAGTGGCGAGCTTTATCGGCATTGATAGGCTGATAGGTGTGATGGTGACGGTTGCTCGGCTTGGCTTGGCCTCCAGTCATCAAGCCGCCAAGCAAATTCACATCGACCTCCCAATTGCCATACCAATCCAACCTGCTTGGCGAATCGTGTTTTCGATGGCAAGACCAGGCGCAGGCGCAAGCTCGGTCTGTTGACCAAGGAGTGGCCGGTTGCAGTTTACAATCCTCATGGTGAAACCGTCCTCGAGGCCTGTCCTCGGTGTTGAGTGCTGAACGGCATCGCTCTGCCTTGTGTCTCCGGGCTTGGTGTGGCTATTGTGTTTTTTGGAAACCGATTGATTTTCATTGAGTCACTCGAACTCTTAAGGCAAGTTTTGCCCCCGTTGGAACCTGTGCCGGTAATTGCAGTGAGGGAGCGCTTGCTCATTGCCGCTCTCTCGCCTTGGATTGCTTCGTGGAATCACAATCGATCTAAAGAAAGGAGTTTGCGCATTCGGCAGTGATGCTACAAGTCTGAACGCAATGGCTGATTGCTGTAGGGCTCGTCAAAAAAACGAGCACTAAGTGTCAGCAGAAAAAAGCCCCGCTCCTGAATCCCCCCCCCCACGCACGCCCTGCTGTCACAAGCCACTTTGCTCAAGAATTGCTTGCCAGTTTGGAACGTTATCAAGCGTTCCCTCACGCAGCAGCAGCCCGCATGATCGAAGTGCCCACTCACACCATCCACAGTTGGCACCGACATCTGTCGCCGTCAGTCGCCCTATATTCGTTGCATGCATGACAGTTGCGTGTCACTGTCTCTTGTATCACGCAATCCTCGATCTACGGTGGCGCGCCCTCTCGGGCTTGGTTAACAAACACACATGTCCAGCCGCCATCTTCTTTCAGCCACCGCTGCACCAACGCTAATGCTACCGTTCCATTTGACAGCGTATTCGAGATTCCCTGTGTTTTCGCTCGAGAATCCAGAGGCCAGCCACTTTAGCGGGTTGGCCGTGTGAAGGGTGTGCATGACGCGCTCCACATCGAATTGTGGCAGTAGATCGCGTGTTCCACCCCCGCTCACTTGCGGCCAGAGATCCCGTGTTCCATCCCCAAGCCGCATGACCGCAGATTGACAAAGCCTTCCTATCGCTTTTTGTTGGCGACTGGTGGACGGAGCGCGGTGCACTCGGCACTTCGCGGCGCATCGAACAATCGAGATGCTTGAGTCAAACTGTATGACTAAAGCAAAAAAAAAAAAACAGCCAATAAAAGAAATACAATAAAAGTACAAAAAGCCCGATCATGTTGGGGAAAGCGCAACCAGCCACTTCAACTTCAAAGCCCAGCTTGACAACCTCACAAGGTACAACACGTCGAGCACCGGACACATTTAGTGCGAGTGCATTAACGAGTCAGCAAAACACGGAAGGAAAAACCATTCCAGAGTTCAAAAGGTCTCCTTTTTTTCCCATTCCCGCTCACTCTTCTTTCTTTTTCTTTTCTTTTTTGTTCCACTCAGCTCTCTACATCTATCCATCTTCTCGACCTCTCTACTTCTCTACCTCTCTACCTCTATCTCTTTCTGTCTCTCTCACTATCTCTCTCTCTCCCTCTCTCTCTCTCTTTCTGCCCCTCGATAACTTTTATCAATCCCTCCATTCTCGCCCACTTTTTTTTTCCCCTCCCCCATCTCTCTCACGAGACTTCCTCCCACTAACCACCATGACGCGTCGTGTGGTCTCCACCATCATTCTGCTCGCTTTGGCAGGCCTTGCCACTGCCGCCTGTTTCCCTGCCGCTGAACGACGTAAGATGACTCACATGGTTTTTTTGCTAGCGGTAGATGTAATTTTTCAAAAAATGCCCTAAGGCCAAGCCCTAGATCGTTTTGTTATTATTGTCGTTTTCTCCATCCCCCGCATCACAACACTTTCTGCTGCTTCGCTCAACGCGTACATGCGCATCATGCTTGAGAAAGGTTTCCATGTTGAACGCCTTCTTGGCAGCTGGCGGCTTTCGATCGCACATGGTTGTCATATTTTGTTGTTTTGGTTTTTTCTCGTTTTCACGCCTAATAGCCATCGGAAGGTTTCTGGTTGGGTGCGCCGCTATCAGAAAAATTGGGTCCAAAAGGAAAGCAGGTCTTTTTTTTCTTTCTTTCTTTTCTTGGAATAGCGTGTGGAGGGGGAAAAACAGCCGTTCAGAAGCTGCAAAAGCCGGTTTGGCGATCGATGATGATCTCGGACATCATCCGGTGCTTCTGCTGCTCTCTTCCCGATTTCTCCCAGTGTTACGGTGTCACTCTGGTTGATGATGATGATGCTGCTGCGGCTTTAGCTCACCTGTTGAAACACCGCTCAATGATATCATTTTTCATCCCACACACGTAGGCCCACTCCGAACAGACCTGGAACCAATCACTATTTCCGCCCTGAACGTCGACTCGTCCCGCACCAGCGCGATGATTGCCAAAATCCTCATTGAGGAGAAGCTTGGTCTGCCCACAAACACGATCGTCCACGAAACGTACGCAACCGCGTTTGCATCGTTGGGTACAAACACGAACGACTTCCTCCTGGAGGCCTACCCTGCCGACGCTGAAGTCCAGTCGCTGATGGAGCTTTACGTCAATACGCTCCGCTCTGTCGTGAATGGTACGTTGCCAATCAATTGCGAAGGTTTTCGTGCAGTGGATTGCCCAAAAACAACAAAAATGCTCACCACCTCCTCCACCAACCTCGTTTTCACAGCTGGTCCCTCTGGTGTGATTGCCGAAACTGGCTGGTTTATTCCCGAATATCTCTACGAAGTCAGCCCTCTATTGGACAGCTACACTGCAATCTAGTAAGGCGTACAGGCCAACCAAATGCTTCTGTCTCCACTCTGCCGCTCACGAACAACCTGTACTTCTCATTGCAAACAGCGACGAACGCATCCAAGCCATCTTCCGCTTGAGTTCCATCCCGCCGGGCCTTCAGCTCGACAACTCTACCATTCGCTCTGTTGTGAACGACATTGACAGCATTCTGGCCGGGCCTGCTTGCAATGTTGCCGTCAACGCGTCCGCTCTTGCCGAGGATTGCGCAGCTGCTGTTCAAGCATTTACGACCTACATGCGCGTCCATGCCCAATTGGACGAGGAGAGTACCCCTGGGACAATGTGGACGGTGCCGGACTCTTGGCAGCCGATGGATCGCCTGCTGGTGGAAAACTTGGGCTTGAATCTCAACGTCACCTGCCCAGTTTCCCCGAATCTCACCGTGTCCCAGACGATGGATGCGATGGTTGGAGTTATCGGACCCGCGTACTTTCTCCGCCAGCCATTCATCACGTATGCTGCCAAGCCGCACTATGTCTTTGCAGACAACTCCCCAGCCCGATTCCACCGCATGCAATTGCCCGAGTACGACTCGACCTGCAACATTTGTAAGCTGCTTTTTCGCTCTCGTCGTTCCGGTCAACAATCTGGTTGAATGCTTTTGCACTCACTTGCTCGTTCTCACTGCCATCCAACTAAACAGCGAGCAGCGCCAACCGCTGCGGATACCCCGACCAGTCCGTCATCAAGCTCATCTCATCCGGCCTTGCCGGAAAGAACCCGGTCGTGTACGACTTTGCCGCCCAGTTTAGCTACTCGGGCAACGACCAATCCAACATTTTGGGCCAAGTCTACTTTGGAGGCCAGTCGCTGGAAGAGGCCACCTGCGAGTGGGTGCTGGCCAACTTTGCAGCAATGGAGCCCAACCTGCCCGACCCTTCGCGCCTTGTTTCCCCGACGTCAGTGTCTTCGGCTCTTCGCATCGCCTTTGTTGCGATTGCCTGCTTTGAAGTGTTCATCTTCATCCTTGCTGCCATCGGTGTCTTCCACTATCGCCGCGTTCGCGTCATTCTCTCGGGCAGCCCCACGTTCCTTCTGCTCATGCTGCTTGGCGCCGTCTGGTCAATGTTTTGGATTATCTTGAACTACCAGGAGGAGCTCTCGGAAAGCATTTGCATGGCACGGATTTGGGCCCGCCACCTGGGCTTTGTCCTGATCTACGGTGCCTTGTTCCTCAAGACATACCGAATTGCAAGCGTGTTCAACACCAAGTCCAGCACCAACGCGGGCCACTTGACAGACCGCGTCCTGCTGTTCCGCTTTGTGCTCATCGTCGCCTACGGCTGCGTCATGCTTGTGGCTTGGTCCGTCTCCCATCCTCCCCAGGTCACCACGATGGTGCACAACAATGAAAGCTACGAGGTTTGTGAGGTGACATGGTGGGACAACGCAATGTACATCCAAGAGCTGATTGCCATGTTCATTACCGGCATGCTGTGCTACCGCGTTCGCAAGGCACCTTCCGCCTTCAACGGATCAAAGCGTGCAGCAATTTCCGTGTACAACTGGATTATGGTTGGCGTCATTCTGCAAATCATCCTCAACTCCACAACGGGTCCCGCAGACTTTTACTTTGCCGTGCAGTCGCTCGAAGTCCTCATCACCGTGCCAATCACCATGCTGATTTCATTTGTGCCAAAGTTCTATCTCATCGCTCGCGGCAAGGGTGATGGCGTGGCCACTAGCACGTACAATCCCAGCGGAAGCCACCGCAAGACACCGTCAGGCAGTCAAAACGCCAAGGCGGCAGAGATTGAAATGTCTTCAGGTCACGACAGTGAATCCGAGAATGGAACACCATACAGCTCGAAGGCTGCCAGCTCCGACGTCAAGGCTCTTCGCCATGAAAACGCTCGCCTTATGCATGAGATTGAAGCCATGCGCACCCAACTTTTGCGCATGCACAATCCCCACGCCATGAACAATGCATGAGCTTGTTGCCGTTAGAGTTATAAAAAAAGTTGCATGCTGTCGTCGTTGCCAAGAAAAAAAAACAATAAACAATGGTTTTGAAAATGGATACAATGTGTCTGACAACTTGACTGAGTGCATTGTTGTTTTGGGGAATATCAATTCCCCTCTCAGTCATTTTGTCGTCCGACACGTTGTAGCTAAACAAAGGCAACCAACTGCGTAACCAACTGCGTAGCTTACCGACAGCAACAACCTACAACAGCAACAACAACAGCAACAACAACATGTTTGCGCTCCGCCAATGGTCACCACCGTCAGCGACGTCAACTCGGGTCGCTGCCGCCAATGCGGTTACTGCTGCTCGTGCTATTGTATCTGGCACTCTGGCGTGCGGAGGTTCGTGCAGCGAGACTGCCCCGCCGATGCCTAAAGTGCGTCGTGGGAGCGCGGGCACGTTGAGCACGGCGCTCTTCTCAAACTTTCCCTCTGCCGCCTCCGCCCTCGCCTCGATGCAACCGCCATCACTGCTCCTCGTCGGCCCGCACACCAGCAGACTGAGGTCGTTCACGCCTGACTGCTCCATGCGAGCCTTCTCAATGCATGCCAGTGTCGCTGCTTCGCCCGACAAAGAGCGTCCGAGTGCGTCGTCGTCTGAGCAACAAGAACGCAAAATCCCAGCGCCCGCGTCAAGCAGTTCGCCATCGGCCTCTTCGTCGTCGTCGTCATCATCATCGTTTTGGTCCAAGCCAGTGCAGCAGCAGCATGGCACGGGACAGCATTATTACACGTACCGCAGCCCGCACGCTGCTGGCTACCCGACTGCTGCCGCGACTACTGCTCACACGGATCAACCCTTCTCGACCTCCATGCCCTTGGAAGAGTTTCTGTCTCCACCCGTCGACGCCATTCCCATTCCAGGCGTGGCTTCAACCAGAACCACCTCGTCCGAGCCCCTCGAAAGCGGGCGGCTTCGTCGGCTGGGGCAGACGCTCGTCGAGCAAGTTCGTCACAAATCAACGCTGCTTCGTGCAGCTGCTCCGAGCATTGCCCCTTCATCTGCCTCTACCGTCCCCGTGCGTACTGCGGCAACTGTCCCGAAGCCCCCAGAGATGTCATCCAAGGAGCTCAAGAAGCAGCTCCAGTGGCCACCCCAAGCGAAGATGAGCAAGAAGGAGCTCTTGGAAGGCTTCATCCCGCACGAGGACTTTATGCGTCAACCGGAAGCCGCCGAACTGGAGGCTCGCGCTACCCAGCAAGATCAAGTCAACATGGACGCCTTGTCTCCAGGACCTGAGGGCTACACTGGTCTCGTGCGTCACCTGCGTGATGAGGTCGCTCAATCGACATCCGCAGTGCGCAGCGATGCCGCCTTTGCTCGTCAAACCATCGCGAGCACTCTTTCCGCTCCGCTGCGTCGCGCCAAAGGATCTGTCTCGCACATGGCCGATGAAACTGCCGATGCGTTCAAACAGAGTGAGGGAGCCGTTGGCAGCCACGCGATGGACGGACTCGACAAAAGCATTGCCTCCCCTGCAGTTGCTGCAGCCTCCCAGCTCAAGAATTCGGTCCAAGACATGGGCTCCATGGCCACCGACAAGATTGCAGACGTCAAGGATGCTGTGCTCGAGCAGGCGTCGTCGCTGTCGTCCACTGTCGCCAAGCAGGGCGAGAAGTTGGCCGAGACGAAGGATGCCATCGTTTCGCGTATATCCGCGGCTGCAGAGGACGTGATGGCGCAAGGCCAGCGGGTTGGCGAGGTTCTTCAAGACATTAGCGCAATGGCCTCTGACAAGATTGGGGACGTCAAGGACACTATGCTTGAGAAGGCGTCCAATGCTGCCGAGACTCTCAAGTCGTCCGATGTCACTGCCGCTCGTAATGTGGCCAACAAGGCTGAGTCCGCCGGGTACGAAGCGTCGGCGAAGATGAATGAAGCCAAGGGTGCTGCTCGTGAGGTTAGCCAGAAGGCAGAGGGCTTTGTCGAGAACGTCAAGTCGAAGGCTCAGACTGTGGCTTCGTCAGTCTCGGACAAGATTGGGGACGTCAAGGACACTGTGCTCGAGAAGGCTTCGAACGCTGTCGAGACGCTCAAGTCGTCTGATGCTGCCAGCGAGGCGAAGGCTACTGCTCGCAATGTGGCCAACAAGGCTGAGCGTGCTGTCGACAATGTCAAGTCGCAAGCCAAGTCCACCGGTTACGAAGCGTCGGCCAAGATGAATGAAGCCAAGGGTGCTGCTCGTGAGGTTAGCCAGAAGGCAGAGGGCTTTGTCGAGAACGTCAAGTCGAAGGCTCAGACTGTGGCTTCGTCAGTCTCGGACAAGATTGGAGATGTGAAGGACACGGTGCTCGAGAAGGCTTCTGATGCCATCGAGACGCTCAAGTCGTCCGATGCAGCAAGCGAGGCAAAGGCTACTGCTCGCAACGTGGCCAACAAAGCTGAGCGTGTGGCTGACAATGTCAAGTCGCAAGCCAAGTCCGCCGGTTACGAAGCGTCGGCCAAGATGAACGAGGCCAAGGGTGCTACTCGTGAGGCTGGCGAGAAGGCAGAGGGCTTTGTCGAGAACGTCAAGTCGAAAGCTCAGGCTGTGGCTTCGTCAGTCTCGGACAGGATGGAAGACGTCAAGGACACTGTGCTCGAGAAGGCTTCTGATGCCATCGAGACGCTCAAGTCGTCCGATGCAGCAAGCGAAGCAAAGGCTACTGCTCGCAATGTGGCCAACAAGGCTGAACGTGCTGTCGACAATGTCAAGTCGCAAGCCAAGTCCGCCGGGTACGAAGCGTCGGCCAAGATGAATGAAGCCAAGGGTGCTACTCGTGAGGTTAGCCAGAAGGCAGAGGGCTTTGTCGAGAACGTCAAGTCGCAGGCTCAGGCTGTGGCTTCATCAGTCTCGGACAAGATTGGAGATGTGAAGGACACGGTGCTCGAGAAGGCTTCGAACGTTGCCGAGACTCTCAAGTCGTCTGATGCTGCCAGCGAGGCAAAGGCTGCCGCTCGCAACGTGGCCAACAAGGCTGAGCGTGCTGTCGACAATGTCAAGTCGCAAGCCAAGTCCGCCGGGTACGAAGCGTCGGCCAAGATGAATGAAGCCAAGGGTGCTACTCGTGAGGTTAGCCAGAAGGCAGAGGGCTTTGTCGAGAACGTCAAGTCGAAAGCTCAGGCTGTGGCTTCGTCAGTCTCGGACAGGATGGAAGACGTCAAGGACACTGTGCTCGAGAAGGCTTCGAACGCTGTCGAGACTCTCAAGTCGTCCGATGCTGCCAGCGAGGCGAAGGCTACTGCTCGCAACGTGGCCAACAAGGCTGAGCGTGTGGCTGACAATGTCAAGTCGCAAGCCAAGTCCGCCGGGTACGAAGCGTCGGCCAAGATGAACGAGGCCAAGGGTGCTGCTCGTGAAGCTGGCGAGAAGGCAGAGGGCTTTGTCGAGAACGTCAAGTCGAAGGCTCAGACTGTGGCTTCGTCAGTCTCGGACAAGATGGAAGACGTCAAGGATACTGTTCTTGAGAAGGCTTCGAACGCTGCCGAGACGCTCAAGTCGTCCGATGTCACCGGCGAGACTAAAGAGACAGCTCGCTATATGGCCGATAAGGCGGAGCGTGCTGTGGACAGCATCAAGTCCAAAGCGATGGCGGCGTCCGAGGCAACCACGACACCTTCCGGCAAGATCAAGTCGGGCGTCAAGGCGATCGCTCGCGATACGCTCGACCCCCGCGCAAAAGCAGCCGACTACACCCAGGAAATTGCATCTGAGATTGAAGAGGTCGACACGATGGCCTCCGACAAGATTGCCAAAGCCAATGACACGGCGATCCGCAACATCAACTCTCAGCGCAACTTTTCGAAAGCTGCCACCCGAGGCCCCAATGTCAACCCGGAGCGCCTCAGAGCTCAAGCGCAATACGATGAAGCTGCCGTGCAAGCCGTCGACGCCATGGCATCGGACAAGATTGCCACCGCCAACGAAAAGGTGGTTGAGGATGCCGAGCCGCAGTTTGCTGAGCGCCATGCCAAAAAGACCACTGAGGCCGCCAAAAAGCAAGATCCGAACAAGGGTCCGTTTCCCCAAAAGGATGGCTACTGAGTGAAGTTGCGAATGGTCGCAGTCGTAGCCTCTCCCTCCAACGAACAAAACAAAGCATCAAAAAGAAACAAAAAAAACAAAAAACAAAAAACACCAGAGTTTGCTTGATACTGTGTGTTTTCACATTGCTGGGACCAAGCCTCCGTTTGTGCGATGTGTGCTATTTTTTCTACATTTTTCGTGTAGTTGATGATGATGGTTGCAGCTTGTCCAATACACTTTGTGAGGTCGATCGGTCGTTTTTCCCCTCTTTTTCTTGTCGTTCTTTATGAAACAGTTCCTTTTTGTTTTTTTCTTTTTCATTTCAGTCGTTTCTCTTAAATTTCCGCTTTTTCCTCCATTTCGTTCCGTGTTGCCTGTTACCCCCCCCCCCTCTTCACTCTCCTCTCTCTTTCACTTCGCTCTCTCTCTCTACTTCTAAGCTCCTTACACTTCCATCACCCCTTCCCCCTCCCCTACCTCACCTCACTCCAGCGGGGGGTCGTCGACCTTGTTCTTTGTTCCGCTTCCTTTCCTTCCTTCTTGTTCTTCTTGTTCGTCCTTTTCCGATCGAGCCATTCTTCCTTCTCCTCCAATAACAAACACACACACATAACTTACCAGAGCCAAATGCGGTTTAGCGAGTACGCTGGGACCAACCGGCTGTCGTGCCGCGGCAAGGGCGTCACTGGGCCCAATCGCAACGTCCTCTACATTACACTCGCGCTCATGGTCGTCATCTACGGCGTCTTCCTGGCCTTCCCGTAAGTGTGCTCGTGCTTTGGAGTGCTGGGTTGCTTTGGAGTGCTTTGGTTGCGGGGAGTGTGGATTTTCACCCGACCGCGCAATGCTTGCCAATGGCATGATGGATCACTCGTGTGTGTGTTATGGACGCGTCGGATACGTCACACCGTGCCAAGTTCCCCCAGACATGCGGCTTGGATACACAATAGTTGTTGCGTATCATGCATCCATCATCCGTGATGCTGATTGTTGAAGAATGCTCTTCATCTCTGCTTACGTCCGTTACTTACTCTTGCTTGTGCGTCTGTTGACAGAGCGCGATACTTGTACTATAGCCTCTCAAAGTCCATTCCGTTCGTCGGATCATACATCTTTTTGCAGGCATTTGTGTTATTGATTGCCACGGCGTTGAAAGACCCAGGCATTCTCCCTCGAGGTGAGTTTTTGTTCAATCCTCACTGCACTCTCCGCCCCGGGCAGGTTGTCGCTCGTTGACAGAACATGCGGCTCATGATTCCTTTGTCAACAAATGTCCGTTTTGCAGCACGGGTGCCAGAACGGGAAGACCCGATGGCGCCGCTTTACAAGGATATCAACGTGAATGGGATTGATATCAAACTAAAGTACTGTGTGACGTGCAACTTCTTCCGGCCACCTCGCGCCAACCATTGCTCTATTTGCAACAACTGCATCGAGGTGAGTTTGTTTGCGTACAAGGTGGTTGCCTGGTTTTGTAATTTTTGTTGTTCAATTTCGTTTTTCTGCCCTTTTGCTCGCCTCTGTTGCTCACCATCCCATCTTGCTGCCAATTTTTGCCTCTATGCTTCGCTTTTGTCGCTGTCTCGATACCTAACATCTTACCAGGGGTTTGACCACCACTGCCCTTGGATTGCAAACTGCATCGGGCGACGCAACTACCGCATGTTCTTTGGCTTTGTGCTGTTTATCACTCTGTTGACGATATGGGTCTTGGCATTCTCAATCGTGCATATTGTCCAAGCAGCCAACGATGGAGTCTTCCAGGAGGCCGCTGCGTCCGTTATTGTGGGTCTCTTCGCTTTCGTAGCCCTCTGGCCCGTTTTGATGTTGTTAAACTTCCATGCACGACTGGTGCGATTGAACCTGACCACTAACGAGGATGTAAGTAAATGCTCATCGTTGCTGTTTGACTATCGACTGCCGAGATCTGTCGAGCAGAAACGAAATTGCGTTAGATCGCTGTTTCTGATTTGGAATGGCCATCTTTGTCCAATCTCCTTTGCCAGATCACTGAAAAGTATGTCAAGACCGGCAATCCGTTCGACCAAGGCTGCGCGAAGAATTGCGCCAGTGTTCTGTGTGCTCCGCGCTTTCCTAGGTGAGTGCTTTGAAGTTTTGCTGCCCTGTGCCGCTTTCTCGTTTGACCAGCACGCCCACCTACTCATGCGTAACAATGTCATGGATGCCATCTCATCGCTGTGTTGTTGTTTTCCTGTGTGCCAGATTCATCAAGCCGGTGCAACCGCAGGAGGTGGAGCTGACCAAGGTCACAGCCACTAGCGCCGTCGCTGGCAGCGCTCCCTCTGCTTCAGATGCCGCAGGCGTCCAAATGGAACAAAGATCCCCATCTGCACCACCGTCCGAATCCGCCCAAGTTGGCGAAGTTTATGATAACGCCTTGCGATCAGAAACAAACCACGACTCAACTGTTGTGAACGTTGGATCGGTTTAGATAACATCTCATCACGAGTAATAACTGTTGGGGTCGTTTTTTTCGAAATATACTACATACAAATCTGCTAACTGAACACGTGAACACGGACTTAACAAACGCGCGTTAACTGGCGGCAACGCATTCCCATGAACATGAACATGCGGGCTTAATCGAACACGCAATTGAGCGCAACAAGAGGTGACTGCTCTTGCAACGATCGGACCTGCTCTAGGAAGGTGGTGGGAAGCTCTGCATCGGTGAGCGGAACAAAGAGACCTGCGAGCCAACGGGCAGGCAGCGCAGTCATCGCTAGACTTGTTGCTGTCGAGGAGACAACAACTGGGGGCTCTGGCACGCACTTGTCACGCCAAGCTTGCACCTTAATACCAGAAATATTGTCGGGCGTCTTGCGCAACCATGGCTTGCGAGCTCCACTCCAATGCATCAACTTGGGGCTTGCCAGCGCGTCCTTGTCCTGTCGCCCATAGGCAGCCTGCCCACCACCCATGGAATTAACGTGCCATATGGGTGGCAAATGGCCGTGCTTGCCTTGCAATGCCAGCATTAATGCAGGCTGCGTGACACCTCCGCCCTTCCGTCGGCCGTAAATCGCATTGTTGCTCGCAGCGTTGAGCGAAATCCACTTGAGCACCTCTGCTGTAATGTTAAAGTGCTTCCACTTGGCAACATCCCACAGGAATACACCGGCGTTGAACGCGCAGTGGTCTGGGTCAATTCCCAGCGGCTTGACGGCCGTGTGATTGACATTGATGAAGTCTTGCAAGCGATATGTCTCGCACGTCTCCTTCACCGCCATCACCTCATTCTCTTTGAGGCTGAGTGTTTGAAGCTCCATGACGTCTCCTGTGGTGGGGTTTGGTCGCGGGTTTGAACGCAAAACAGTGAGAATCCCGCTCAAACACGCTTTTGCTGGAGAGAGGCACGCAGAGAGAGAAACGGCCCTACCTAGAACAAGGCAGTCACTGTCAATGTAAAACGCGCGCCCTGTAGCCTCTGGGAAGATTTCTGCAAAGAAAAAGCGTGCAAAGTTGGGCTAAATCACAAAATGTCAGTCAAACAACGCCCCATCCCTTCCATTCTGTATCAAGGTCGATAGTCACACTCACCTCGGCTTCCAGCTCTGGCCTGCTACCACCGGGCTTTCGTTTCGGCAGCAGATTGGCAGGCATGACTCGCACAAACGTATGAAGATTGATGTCGGATGGGAGAGCCGCGCTCAACCACCGCCGAAGCCGGCCGAGAGCCGATTCGGTGTCGACCGCGACAAAGAAGGCTAGATCTTGAGGACGCGAGCTTCGCTGGTAGATGGACAGGAGTAGCGTCGGAACTCCAATCATGGTTGCCATGTCGCACGAGGTCAGGATGTTGAACGGTCGCTCAATCGTCTGGTACATCTCGCCAACCGTGCTGATATTCGCAGACGGTCTGGCGGCTGGTTTCAAGGCTTTTGGCTGTTCAGACGAGTGCGAGCCTGGTGCACGGTTGGCGAAGAAGACGTGGCCAGAGTCAGGCTTGGCTGGCTCAGTGTCAGCGACGTGATCGCCGTTGCCTTGGCCCTGGCGATGGTCAGTCTCGACTGGAACAACTTTGTCGACTTCAATGACGTTGACGGGCTGCTCGGGAGCAGGGTCTGGCTCGATGCGGCCTTGCCCTCCTGGGACCACCACGGCTGGCAACTGGGCCCTGCGCACGACAGCGGGTGCCACAACATGGTCGGACTCGCGATCACCAGGATGATGGTAGAGATTGCCTTGGTTGACTGCTGATGGCTGTGGAATCAGCCAAATCAGCGACAGGAACAGAAGGCCGACGACGGCGATTCTGAGCCGCCTTGAACGAATCATGCTGACCACTCTCGCATCTGTAATGACTGCACTTGACCAAGAATAGTACAACAAGATGACTTTGCATGGTTGAGCCGACAGTTCGGAATTGCGCGGCGCGTGCTGGCACTGTGTGTTGAAGAACAAGAGAGAAATGACATCAAAATTTTGTAAAGATGAACAGGATACAGGCTTACGAACGACACGGGCAAGGAGCAGACATTACGAAAACAAATAACAATCAACTGAAACAAAAACACAAGGAACAGTAGTTTCAAAGCGACACAAGGCCAGACATGAAACGATTTGGTGAGGGGATGGGGGTAAAGCAATGCAATGACGTTATGGGTGGTTTGGGCTTGGTCGGCGAGCTCGAGGGGCCTCGCGTATTTGTGCATGGGCATTGCGTGCTGGACGAGCTGCTTGTGTCGCGCCGGCAGGGCGAGGGGCGCGCGTGTTCCGGGTGGCGCCAGGCCGTGCAGCGGGAGCGCGGGTGTTTCGCGCGGGTGGTCGCCGTGCTGGTGCCGCCGGAACGGGGAAGTCGCAGTCCACGGCAATCTTGGCTGCCAGGTTGGCCGCGCGAGCATTCCGCATGCCGGAGCACTGTTTCTTTGTGAACTCGCGTTCATTGGATGCGCTCTGATCCGGATCTTTGTCATCGATTGCGGCCGCTGTGTCGGCAGGGCAATCAGCGTCGGTCAACTCTGGCTCGGGAACACAGTTGGCTGCCCACAAATTCGGGAGCAATGCGCCAGGAGTGGTCAGCCAGGGCTTGGCGGGCCCTGCCCAATGGAACAGGTTGCCTGTCGTCACGTTCATCTCGAGATCGCGCACAAACCTCCGTCCGCGCGCAAATCCAAGATGTGGAATGTTCCATGCAGGATCCAAGTTGGTGCGGCGGTTGTTGAACACGATCTGCATTGGGCCTTGCGAGCCGCCGCCAATCTCCTCGCCCTGGAACAGATGCTCGCGCGTGTTGAGCTCCAGCCAGAACATTAACTGTGCCGTCACGTTCAGGGCGTTCCATCGCTCCAAGTCGGCAACATAGACACCCGCGTTCAGTCCGCAATGCTTGGGCAGCAGCTGCATGGCTTGGATGCGCTTGTTTTCAAAGTTCAAGAACGAGGCACGGCAGTCCTTGAAGAACGCCGCGAGATGCCGCCCTTCGATGCGGTGGTTGTGCAAGTCGATAATGTTTCCTGTTGGTAGGGGGCAAAAAAGGGGGGAAAGTGGACAATGCCGTTGCGATGTGATTGGGAGAATGGTGAGAAGGCAAAGTTCGGCCAGCTGAGCTGGTGGTGTACATTGACGAATGACGTTACCAGTGACAATAACATCGGCATCAAGGTAGACGACGCGACCTTTCATTTCCGGGAAGAGGTCCAAGACAAAGTAGCGAGCAAAGTTTGTCTACCAAACCAAGCCACCAAAAAAAAAGAAGTGGATTTTCAACCATGTGAGTGCATTGGTCATCTGGGGGGTTGGTTTTTGGTATTTGGAAACAGTGATGAGAGGGATGTTCGAGATGCGGTTTCAAAGGGGATCCATGCGCGGATGGAGGTGTGCTGCTGCTGGAGCATTGCAACTACCTCCCAGCAGAGCAACGTTGCTCCGTTCGGTTTGCCCTTCCTTCCTTTTTTTTTTCCGCTTCCTCTGCTTTCGACTAGCGTCTGATGCTGCCATCCATGCCTTGCGTTAGGATGTTAAGCAGCATTGCGTCCCCCAAAATGAATTGGCAAGGCGGTTGTCATGCACATCCCCCACTGCTGTGGAAACAACAGGCTCCCAATGCAATGCCCACTCACAACCCCCACCCCCAAAGTGCGACCATCCTCTTCTATAAATGTGCTTCTTGGTGGTCTATGTGCTTTTTGTCGTTACCGGGGCAGCGAGGTCGTCGCGGGCAGTCGACCCACGGAGCAGGAAGCGGCCTTCCACCCATTCAGCCTGCATGACTGCAATGGAGTACGCCGGCGCCTCGCCTTCCTGGAAGCCGCCCTCGAGCCAGCGCGTGAGCCGGATGGCTGAGATCTGGCTGTCGACTGCAATGTAAAAGTGGATGCGGCTCGACTCGTTTGTGTTGCCCAGGACGGAGCGGATGAGCGCTGGGACGCCAACCAGCGTGGTTTCGTCCGCGGCCGTCATGATGTTCACCAGGCCGTCCGCAGGGACCCGCAGATCCTCAGTGTCGTCCGTGGGATCCTCGCCGTGGAAGGCTCCGTTGTCGCGGTAGCGTCCGTTCATCACGCCGCCGAGCCCACCGGCGCCCGCCGTCATGGTGCTCTTGCTGACCGTGTGCAGGACGAGAAGCAGCACAACGACCGCCGCAGCTCCCATCAGAGCAGCACGGCGGCGGCGCGCCGTCAACCGCAGCAGCTGAAGCATCTCAAGGGGTGGGAGGGAAAACAGACAAGGTATAAGAAATGGACTGGTTTTGTACGAGGGGGAGAGCGGGGTGGGGAGAGAGAGTGGGGGAGTGGTTTGGGCGAAATGGAACAAATAAAACGAAAAAAAAAAAAAAAAAAAAAAAAAAGGGAGAGTGTGGCTTGAGAAGGAGAGGCGTGAATGCTGAGAGAGGGAGAGACAGAGAGAGGGAGGGGGGTGAAGCAGATGAGCAAGCAACTACGAAGAGCGTCCTCAAGCACGAGACCTCACCAGCAGAGCAGCTTTTGTAAGCAGGCCTGAAACGCAAGGCAGGATGAAAAAAGAAGAGTTTGGGGTGTGTGAGAATTTGGAAATTGTGGAAAAACATGCGTGAAAACCGACCAAAAGCAAAGACTCGTCGAATTGATGCATTGAGCATTGAACAAAGCACACATCAGAGTGTAAACACAAGACGATAACAGAAAGGGGAAGGCATGACAATGACAGACAAAATAAACCAAAATCCAATCCAGGCAGTCGAACAGCACAAACCAACGAACACGCTGGTCAGCGATCGGCGCGGAGTCGACACATTACGGGCTGGTGGTGGAAGCTACACCAGCGATCGTCGCGTAAGTGGTTGTGGAGGGCGTGGGCGGCACACGGACAGACGAGGCATTGGGCAGCGAAGAATCAGCGTACTTTCACCCAAAAAAGTTTTTTACATCGCGTTTTTTTTTCCACTCCTCACCCCGCCCTGCGACCGTTTCGACCACAACTCTCCATTTTCCCTCTCTACTGCATGTATATATGTACCTTCTATGTGTTTAGAGTGAGATAAGCGGAGGGGTGATGACTGGTACGACGGGGGAAGGAGAAAGGATGCAAAAAGGGACAAAACGCGATCGTCCCAAAAAGGGACTTTTTGGCGTTCTTTTTTCAACTTTCACAAACACAACACCATACGGACGCATGAGCCCCACCAAACCACTTCAATACTTGGTATAACCACCTTGGGCATCCAAAACTGCTTTGATGCGGCGCGGCATGGATGAAATGAGCGAGGTGCAGACCTCGACGGTGAGGACCTTGTGGTAGACCTCTTGGAAGCGCTCCCAGAGCATATCTTGGTTTGTGATCTCCCGCTGCTTGTACACAGCGTTCTTGACCATGTTCCACGCATGCTCGATGGGGTTGAGGTCGGGGGAGTTCGCAGGCCACTCCAAGAGGGTGAGGTTCTGGTTTTTGAACCATTTCATCACGTCCTTCCGCTTGTGACAGGGCGCGTTGTCCTGCATGAAAATCAGGTTTGGGTCGTTTCCCCAAGCGGCCAGACTGTCTTTCAACCTTTCGTTCAGAAAGGAGAGGTAGACGTCGCCGTTCATGCGGTCGCCGAGCTCGGAGAAGAAGGAGATGCCGTAACGCGAAATCGCTCCCCACACATTGATGTGCCCTCCTCCAAACTTGACAGTGCCCTGGACCGACCTGTCGTCGAGCGGTGCACCCCACACACGCCACACACGGCCAGAGTTGTTGTTCCTGTACAGGTAGAGAGCGGTCTCGTCGGAAAAAACGACGTTCAACCAGTCCTCTACGGTCCAATTGGCGTGAGCGCGGGCGAAAGCAAATCGGGCGTCTTTATGACGCTGCAGCAGCCTCGCTTTTTTTGACCTTCGCCGCACAAAAGAGACCCTCCCGCCGCAGCCCGTTCCTGATCGTATCTGCAGTGACATCACAGTGCTTCCATTTGCGCATGGTGGCGGCGACTTCGGTAGCTGTGTGCGAATCTCCGGTCTTAATCTGCTGCACGATGTTTACGGCGGCAGTCGAAGAAACCTTGGTCGGACGTCCAGATCGCGGCGAATCCTGCGTCCCGCCCCTCGCCGAGTAGCGTACATGGATTGCACGCACTGTGTGCCAAAGGAGACCGAGTTGGTCGGCGATCTGGCGGTAGGAGAGGCCGGCTTTGTGCAGCTCCAACACGTTCGACCGAATGACCTCCCTACTCGGCTTGATGACAGTGGGCTTCGGCGGCGATGGTGGGGATACATTGCCACGTGTGACTCGCTTCACGGACGAAGACGGCGGGGACGAGGCACGAGTAGAACGAGCCATGGGGGCGTCGAACTGTGGAAATGAGAGAAAAAGGCGGGAAAAATTCAATCCAAAGCGCGCGCTTTTTTCGATGTTTTGCCGCATCCACGCGGTCCCCACACGCACACTTCTCTTCCCGTCCCCGCTCCTCATCATTTTCCGATGTAGGGTACACCGACGCACACCCCACATGTGAAATAGGGCGAACTAACCGTCGTCACACGGAGATGGAGACTGAATTAACCAAAACAAATCGCGATGTAAAAAACTTTTTGGGGTGATAGTACAATTCAGACATGGCAAGCACCTCGATCCCATCCGCCAGCATCACCAAAAACATCAACATTCTCAAAACAGCATGGGATGCGATGCAGGTGGGCCGTTGTCGTCCTCGTTGTCGGGCCCGGATCGACATTCGCGGCAACTTCTTCCGACGTGCGCCAAGTTCCATGGCTTCAAAAAATGCCTGACCCGCGGATGGTTCCTGCTGAAACTTAGTATTTATTTGAGGTCGCTGGAGCAAGGGGGAGGTGATGAGGAGGTCGGGAAATGAGTGAGGGGAGGAGGGGGAGTTGGAAAAACTCAAAACCAGGGTTTTCACCGCCTTGTGCGTGTCATAATGCGTCAAAAGTCATGAGAACTGAGCAAGGCGAAACTAAACAAAAACAAAAACAAAACAAAACAACAAAACAAAACAACAACAACAACAACAACAACAAAACAAAAAAAAAAAAAAAAAAAAAAAAAAAAAAAAAAAAAGCCCAATCGGCCCAAAAACATGGTGGGCGCGATGGGAAAATAAATAAAATCAACAAAACATTGGAATGAAGGAGGAGGGTGACCTCAACTGAAACCAAGAGCGAAAGAGCGCGGAGAGGACAAGCGCAAGCGAGAACCAGCCAACGCGAGAGAAGCACGAATAGCAGGCGGAACGCATCCATCACAAGCCGCCAGCAGCAGGGACAACCCAGAGCGGTCAACGCGACAGCAAGCACTGAGAGGGCGGGGAGAGGTTGTTTTTTTGGGATTTTGGAATGCAGTGGGACGCCCGCATTTGACGCTCGGTCTGCTCGCCTGCCAGCTCCACTGGGACACAACATGTGCACTGGGCCAAAGGACCAAGGGCGAAAGCCCGCCCCAGCGGCTGAGCAGGCGAGCGAGTCCAGAGCATGAGTCACTCCAGAAAGTTCCCGCAAAAAAAAAAAAAAGACAGAGGGCGGAAATTGTTTTTTGTCTTTTTGTCACGTTAGCCAATCCCGAAGGAGCTGCGACCTGCCGCCATTCATAGCACCCGCTCGCCATCCCATAACCCGCACTTTGTTCGCCACTCCACAACACCACAACAGTACAGAGGGGACAGTAAAGCTCACCGCGACGGTCGCTGCTGGCGGGGTTGTGGCTGTTTTCGTCCGTTTGTCGCACTCCGGCTGGTTCCGGCTGTATTCCCCCCTCTCTACCACAGGCATTCTGATTTTGTTTTTAATACCCCCTTCCATCATACTGACTTTCAGTTCTCTTCCCGCTCTTTTGCCCTTTTCTTTTTTTATTATTCTATTATTTTTATTTTATTGTTTTATTTTTTCATTTTTAATTATTTTTTTTTTAATTCTCGTTTCCCCTTTCCTCCTATCATCGCTCACTTTCCAGCAGAATGCGACGGAACAAGACGATCGTGTTGGGGATATTGCTGGTAGTAGCGTTCATGGTCTTCTTGCGGCAGGCTCCGCAGGCAGAGCAGCCCGAGCACCACCGCGCAGGAACATTCCGTGGCATCAATGGCGTCGGTGGCGCGGCTGCGGCTGGTGGACGATCACAGCAGCGCCCGTGGGAGGCTCGTGCAGCCAAGGCGCGCATGCATCTCGACGACAACATCAACGATCAGCAACTGCCCCAGCCGAACATGGCAGCGCGACAACGCGACACGCTTGGCGGCAGACCACATGCTGCTGCGGCTGATTCAAACGGCGGCCTCCAAAACCGCGCCGACAATGCCGTCCCCGAGGTCGGCCGTGCCGATGGCGGTGAAAACGCACTGAAGGGCAACGACGACACCAACATGTTTGCGCAACTACGGCGCCAGCGACAGCAAGAGCAGCCAAACAAGCAGCACCGAGCCCCCAAACCGCAGCAGCTCGGTGGGGAGCAGCAAGCCATGATGGACCAGCAACGGCAGCAGCGCAAGCGTTCGCACGAGCAAGTCGTGCATCAACAGCAGCGTCATCTGCAGCAGCAGGATCCAGCCAACCTGCCGGTGGTGTACGTCAAGCCGGCGGCTGAGCCGATCAATGTGCTCATCAGTTCCGACTCGGCCACAATGATGGGAGTTCCCAGCCTGATCAACTCCATCCTGAAAAACACAAAGCAGCCCGACGTCGTGGTATTCTACGTCATGGTCGATTCTGCCGCAGAGGAGCTTCGCCTCTACCGCTGGCTGATGCTGGCGTTCGGGGAGAAGGTCATGTCCCAAATTGTGCTCAAAGTGTTCCCAGTGGAGTGGGTCACGAACAAGATCAAGATTCGCGGCCGCCGCAAAGACCTCGCCTCGCCCGTACGTCCCTTGGTGGTTTGCTGTTTTGGTTGTGCATCATTCCGCGGGCTGAGGGTTTGGAGGCGGCAAATCGAGATGACAAAAGGGGGGGTTGGAAACGCAGCAATAGGGCGTGGTTTGGGTGTCACCAGTTTTTTGTTTTATTTTTTTATTTATTTTTTATATTATTTGATTTTATTTTATTTGATTTTAACTCGTGTGTTTGTTTCTGATATTGACAGGCCAACTATGCGCGTTACTATGTCTTGGATCTCTTCCCGGAAATGACAGGACGCATCGTGTATCTCGACTCGGATGTCATCGTGCGAGGTAAGCAAAAACCCACAAAAAACAAAGCAAAAAAAAAAAAAAAAAAAAATCGAGGGATGGAATTTTTTTTTTTTCTTTGGCGGCAACCGCAAAAGCCGTTTCTTCCTTTTATTTCCGCTTTGAATCACGAGACATGGCGAGCTTGCATCCGCAAACGCTGAGGGGACAGGAACACGACGACAGACGGGTCGTACCGAAAAAAAAACCCAAATGGAAGCGACATTGAATGACTCACTGTGTCCCTTTTGGTGTACCGCAAAATTTTGAAAAACACTCGCTTGAAACAGGCGACATTGCCGAGCTGTACAACCACCCCATTCACGAAGGCCATATTGCCGTGTTTGTCCAAGACTGCGAGCGCAACCGCTTCAAGTCGTTTGTCAATCTGCAACACCCCAAGGTGCAGGCGCTCAAGATTGACCCGGACACGTGCAGCTTTAACGCGGGTGTGTACGTCGCCGACTTGCAGCGGTGGCGTGAGCAGAACATTACCAAGGAGCTCGAGTACTGGATGGAGCTCAACACGCGCGAGAACGTCTACGGTGGACAGGGATCGGGCGGCGGTTCACAGCCACCGATGCTCCTCGTCTTTTTGGGCCGACGAAGCAACCTCGACCCCCTCTGGCATGTGCGTCACCTCGGCTGGCACGGGAGTGACAAGTACACCCAGGAGTTTGTCGAGTCAGCAAAGATTCTGCACTGGAACGGCGCGGGCAAGCCGTGGTTGAAGACGGGCGGAGCCAACTTCCCCAACCTCTGGCGCCAATACTGCATCCCAGAGGCGATTCTCGCACCAAACGCGTGTTCTCGGCAACTCACCGCCGACAACCCACTGGTGTATCACTCGGACCAAGTGCTGGATCCGTTTGACTGCGCCACTCTTCGCGAAGCTCGCGAGCAAGAGCTTGCCGCCGGTATTGCGCTGAACTGTCGGTTTGATTAGTTGGCTTTGGCAAGAACCGTGTTAATGCAAAATGTTGTCGTCTCCGTTCCCTCTAATGTTGCTGTGTGATAGTTCTCTTTTTGTTGTTTTTGTTCGGACCCTTTCGCTCTGTTGATGATGCTAGATTTAAATGAAACTTAAATTCTCTCCAAAGTTTCTGTCAAAAGTTGAAGCTGCAGTCACACCTGAAGGACTGACAAAGTTACGTCTCTGATGACTACGCCAGAGATATGAGTTGGGTTGCAACACTCAAATGAGGGGCAGCGAGCGCAGTCATCTCAGTGTGTTTCACTTTGTGACTGCAGTTCCACTCACTCTCGCCCTCCCCCCCTCGCCTTCCCCGCGCGCTACCGAGTATGCCGCGCGTTGGCCGCCACGAGATCAGAATCGCCCTTCTACTCTTGGGTCTGGTCGTTCTGGCGTACTGCCTGCACTCCAGACGTGCTCGAGGCGGAGCGACTCCCAGCCAACCGACCAGTCCATGGGGAGCAGGCGTTGGGCCACTCGGCTTCCCATGGATGGACCAGCAAGATCGCTCTGCTGCAGAAGATTCCAACCAGGCCAACGGGATTGTACCCGAAGCCGCGCGGAAGGAGCCCATCAACGTCATGATCAGCTCTGACGCACAGACCGTCATGGGCGTCCCAACGCTCATCCAGTCCATCTTTGCGCAAACTCCCGAGCCAGAGCGAGTCGTGTTTTACATTGCTGTTGGATCCGACACGGAGCTGCTGCGTCTGCAACGGTGGATTTCGCTGTCCTTCTGGCAGTACAGCGAGTCTCAGTTTGTGCTCAAGGTGTTCCCAGTGGAATGGGTCGCCAATAAAATCAAGATTCGAGGCCGGAGAACCGAACTCGCGTCACCTGTGAGTTTTGGGTGTTGCTGGTTTGGAAGCAAAAAATGCGGGCGAGGAGTGGCTCACAGCGCACTCATTTGTGACTAGGCAAATTATGCTCGGTATTACGTGCTGGATCTATTTCCGGGCATCTCTAAACGAGTCATTTACCTCGACACCGATGTTATAGTCCGAGGTGAGTGGACGAGGAAGGCAAATTGCGGCCGACTCTTTTATCGGTTTGCTTCACTGTGGCGGCTCTTCTAACCCCCCCCCTTCCCATGCACCACTAATGTAACTCACACTTTTTCTACTAACGTGATTGCTTTTGGTACTTTGGCTGTGAATCTCTCTCTCTCTCTCTCTCTCTCTCTCTCTCTATCTCTCTCCCCCCTCTCCCAAACTCAGGCGACATTGCCGAGTTTTACAAGTTTCCCCTCGGCCCGGACAAGATTGCCGCCTTTGCACAAGACTGCTCGCGGAACAAGTACAAGTTTTTCATCAATTTCGAAAACGCAAAGGTCCAGGCCCTCAACATCGACCCAGACACTTGCAGTTTCAACGCTGGCGTGTACGTGACTGACTTGGTGCGATGGAAGAAGCACAACATTACCAGCGAACTCGAGTACTGGATGGAGCTCAACACGCGCGAGAACGTTTACGGCGGCCAGGGCTCTGGTGGAGGCTCGCAACCGCCAGTGCTGCTGGCGCTTTTCGGGCACGTTGTCGATCTCGATCCGAAATGGCACGTGCGGCACCTCGGCTGGCATGGAAGCAATTCGTATCAAAAAGAGTACGTGGACGAGGCCAAACTGCTGCATTGGAATGGCCAAGGAAAGCCGTGGCTGCGAAAGACGGTCGGCGTCGCCAACTTTGTGCACAAGTGGCGCGAGTTTTGCGTGCCCGAGCCTCCATTGGCGGACGACGCGTGCACTCTGCAAGCCGAAGGCGAAATTGATGCCATCTACGTCTCCGACCAGGTGCTGGATCCCTTTGACTGCGCAAGTTTGCGAGAAGATTACCAGACTCAGTTGTCCGACAACATTGCGCTCGATTGCAAGTTTCCCGTCGAGGTTCCTGACGAGCGGTGAATGGTTTCCAAGTTTGGAGGTTTTCTCCTGAATTGTTAAGGCTCTTTTGTTTTGATTTTTTGTGTCTTGTTACCATGAGCGATGAGTTGGAGGCTTCTTTCTTTTTTTGTTTTCTTTTTTTCTTGGTTCTTTTTCATTGTTCTGAACGCCTGTCCCTCGATCGCTGTTCTTGTTCATCTGTCGCTTTGTACCATTATATAACCTTATTCCTGATCCACCCTTCCCACTTGTGCAAATCGCATCTCATCCCCGGGACTTGCCACGTTGCTTGCTTTGCAAACAACCAAAAGCCGGAGTGGCAACACTGCTTCTAATTCCGAACCTATTTCGCTGAAGCTTCGATATCCGCCCCTTGTTTCGATAGTAATACATACTATATGGTTTAGTGATATTATGGCGAGACGGAGGGGCTGAGCGCACGTCTCGGGTCGGCAGGGCGCCGGTCGTCAGTTTGGCTCGTTTTGCTGGACATGCATTACGCTTCATAATTAAAAGCATTTCGCTAGTGGAGGCGCCCATACTCATCTGAGCGGCACCTCGCCCTACTGGGCATGTGACATCAACCTAGACTCTCCGACTGGTAGCAAAGAGCGGGCATGGAACATCGCCGGGGTGGCTGCAGGCCCGTCGAACAACAAAATGGCCGGAACAGCCCGAAACTGCATCTCGAGCAGACGCGGTCCTAGCCGCCTCCTTTTGCGCGGAAAGTGATACATGCAACATGTTTGTTTATTTTATGAACAGGCGGGGGCGATGGTTGCACTGCAGGAGCAAAGTCAACGCGTTGACAAGTTTTGCAGTCGCGACGGCGCGTGCCCAGCCTGAATCGACGTTTCGAGCCCCGCTCGTTGTGAAATGCAATCGCATACATCGTCTTCGTGATTGTGCATGATCGCGGGCTGGACGCACATGCGAAAATTTTCCACGATGGATCGGGCTCGACTGAGCGCCCCGTCGCTGTCGCTCTGTGTGTCACTGCGCCGCAAGTGAACGACTCTACGATCATCAGAGTCCCATATACTCCCAGCTGTATCATTATTGGCACCGGACATGGCGCAGGAGCTGTCCAGGGCTGCGGTGCTGTTCAGTGCGCTTTGCCTCCCACAGGACCAGCGCTCACCGTCTGCACCGACACTCGTAGAACAGCTCTGTCGCCCGCCTACTTTCCTCCATCAATAAAATAAGACTGGGTTTACTATAATTTCAAGCGGGGAAGCGGATTAGAGGCTTCTACATCGACTAGTGGCTCAAAAACACTCTTGTTCACAATTAAAATCAGGGGCGTAACGGTGGCCCAGTCAAAAAATCTTGTTCATAATTAGAGACGCCTCTCTATTTAGTGAGTGCACGCGCCAATGCTTGCTCATGGTGATTTTCGTTGATAAAGTTGTAGAAATCGTTAGCACGAAGTGTCATGGCAAAAAGTAAAATATAAAACAAAAATAAAAGACTGATTGTGGTCCCTGAGAAATTAAATCAGCACTCTCCTAATCAAAAATTCGAAAATTGTACTCGCCAATCAAATCGCCCATTCCCAGGGTTTGTCTCTCGAACTTTTTCAAAAAACTTTGGAAGCCCAACACCGCGCGTCATCACCAGCCAATCAAATCGCTTGCTATCTTTGCCGAGCAAACAACCCAATTTGGAACGAAACACCAATTCAGACGCTTCGAACAACAAACACACCGATTCGTTAGTCTTCAGCATTTCCATGCAAAAAAGACAAGAAAGTTATCAACCAGCAAACAAAGCTCCTTGCCTGCATCCCGGCCTCATTAAACGTCAAGCTCTCCTCAGCAGGCCCTTTGAGTCTGGCGTCGGTGCGG